TTTTACTGGAAGCGCCATAATATAGACCGGGTTCACGGTTAATTTTTATTTTTTGTGAAGCACATTTCTAAGCTTATAACTTTCTTACTACATGAGCTAGCGGGGTGATTCAACAGTCATTTTGTAGAGCGTCTTTTGCTGCATCTTTTCTTTATAGAAACAAATTTACAACCATATGCTTCACTATAGAAAAATTTATTTTACAAATCGAGTCAGGACTTCTGGGTCACCCTTTATGTACAACTATTGCTCATTGCAAAAACAAGACTGGTGGGTATTTTTCGAATAACTTTTGATAGGAGCGAGGTAGTGAGCTGTGGTTTTCACCATTAGAAAGAGAAGATCCGGGCGCATCAACATATGCTAAAATCTGAGTGGTCAGCAATGGGCCAATTGGATGCATTTTCGAGAGACATGTTGAGCGCGACACTTTGGACCGATTTTGAAATTTGGCTCAATTGTTAATTTACATTTCTGGTAGAAAAATTATTCTCTTGCGATCTACACATGGCCCACCTATCTAGCTTGTTCGGTTCAAGAAATACAAGGATTTTCCTGAAACCCCTGAACTCAGCCGATTAACCATGGATCATCCAGAAAGTATTCTGGAATAGGATAATTCACAAAGGGAAAACAGCTGACTTTATGACTTAAATAATCTAAATGACTTTACATGACTTAATGACTTTAAATGACTTTTTTTGGACTTAAATGATCTGAAAGATCGAAAATTATTATTGTTTTTCATCATGTATCTTACTTTACATCCCACTATTACTCGAGATTTCTACATATTACATTGAGAAATAGGGAAAGCAGTCGTGGAGCCAAGATCCTTAGCATCTCATGCAAGGGGAAAGCAACTAACTTTAGAACTTCAATGATTTTTATGATTATATGACTTAAATGATCTGAAAGATTGAGAATCTCCATAGTCTATCTTCTTATATTTCGATTTGTATCTCATTATATTTTGAGAATTCGATTTCCACTATTTTCCTAACTTATGATATGGTAGGAGATATCCAAGAGAACACTCATCCCCGTTTTATGTTGACTCTTCGCTTTCAGCTTAATTGTTCAGCTGAACAACACATAGATCAACTAGTCTATCGTTCGATTTGTTTCATAATATGTCTATCTTATCGCCGCCTCTTGCAATATGTCATTCTTGATTAGAAAACAACGTGATCTTCAACAATCACATTTGATCTCAGGTTCTGCATCCACATGATGTTGACGTGAACAATAATGAAAATACAATTTAAAATTAAACGAACATTCAACTTTCTATCAAAAATTAGATGAATAAATATTATAAGAGATTCTAGTGATCAAGAACACATGGAAAAACTAGAAATGAGAAAAGCGACGACTATTTTCAAATTGAAAATATTGAAAAACGAGACTAACAGAGAAACATATTCAACTGTAAGCTGCTATTCGACTTCATATTCTAGTTATGAGTAGGAATCAATGGAACTAAGAAAACCCTAGTCTAACTCGCGATCAGTAGCGAATTTAGACAGGAGAACAACGAAGTAATCGTTCCTTCTGTCAGAATTTTTACCGTCAACAACGAACGAAAAACTAATTTGTAATTACTAGTTGAAATGGACCTTCAAGTTCATTTTTTTCATCGTTCCACCTCTCCCAGAAACCTAAATTCACCATTGTTCGTAGTCCTATCCTGTGGGTCAAGTGTTGAGACTCCTTTGGTAAATTTCGTGCGTATCCGTAGGTATATTCATCGGGAATGTTGAGTTGTGAATTTTACGTCTGTAATTTTGTTCTTACACAAGTCTGGTAGTTCATATAGCTTCCTGAAAGTATTAACTGCAACTTTAATGTTCTTTTGTTGTGATGCTGGATCTTCAAAACCTAATTATTTGTCAACGACCTCGCACACAAACCGAGTTTACATGAATACTCACTATCTTGAGAAAGCAAAATTGTTGTTAGTTAAAACTTTTAGAGTATTATCAAGTCTATGAAATGTATCTTAGATAAGAATTTCAGACCTCAATTTTTGCAATTCAATATTTCAACGAATACGCCAGAATCCCAATAAAGCAATCATAACTCTTGGTGAATAGATTACTGTCGTGAATCTTATTAGGACTTTCTTAGGCTCACTGGATCCCTCCACAGCTAAAATATAAGACCAAACAGCGTCCAGTTCTTGGATTTTATTCCTTATATGTGAATTATATTCATGCCATTCATTTTCTGTAGAATATATGAGTTTTTCATAGAGTTTCTCTGAATATACACAATTCAGTGAGGATGACACGCATTTAGAGTGAATGAGCGAATTAGAATCAGAAAAAGCAATAATGTCTGATTATTTTTCATACTCGTCGATTGTCATGACGACCATTTTTTGAGTTTCAAAAATGTTATGCGTATAATAATGGACCAGATTACGTTGCGATTTCGATTTTAAGCATTGAGGATCTTCATGTTTATGAATGTCGATAACAGCTAGACCATGGAAAATTATTTCCCTGTTTCATTAGCCTAACGGAAACTCGACAGCCACAGTGAACATGAGCAGAATCCAAGAGGAAAACAACTGATTTTTACGACTTTAAAGTCATTTAGAACACGTAGATCATTTAGATCATTTAAGTCATAAAGTCAGTTGTTTCCACCTTGGCTCAACGTCATTAATGACAAAAAATACTAACGTAAATAAAACACAACCCATATCTCTATCCAGAAAGTTTAGCTATATACACAAAGTAACATACATACCTATATAAGGGAAAACAAACATAATATTATATTGAGCATCCCACCATCATAACATACTACTGCATCAACCATGACGATTAAACCATTCCAAATAACGAATGCATTTAACACACACGTAAGAAAGACAACCAAACAACAGACGAGAGAAGAGAAACAGAAAAATACATACAACCAGAGAAACACTAAACAAAAAGAACAGACGAAAAACAGTTCAATCGTTCAGTTCGACGATAGCGTAGTGCGTAATAACCGAAAAATAGAAAGCAAATGACGCAATCCATTCGAACTTTACAACTGCGCAATAAATCATTTTAGAAAAATACGCAATAATGCAGAAGAAGTGAGAAAGATAAGTGCAAACAGTACGAGCACCATAGGAATGCAAACAGTACGAGCACCATAGGAATGCATTCAGCCCTGAATCAAACATTTAGCTTAGAAAAACAGACAAAAATGAATTCATTCCAAACCATCATGATTCTTTCTACTGATACACACTAACCATTACACTAACTGCAAAAAGAAGAACAGAGGAAATCTCTTGTATGAAACCCATCAGCTACATTGACAACTGCCCTAATCGCACAGTTTCAATATGAATATAACTAGACAATATCTCAACAATGTAAAAAATATACAACGAATTTTTACCAATAGTTTTAGACATATCAATATTTGCGATCTGAAGTTAAGCCACGTCCGAATGATGAAAATGTTTCTGATGATCGTGGTCCCACTTTCACGATTCAGTTCTATCCCACATCATGAAGGACCTATCAATATTGTTTTATTTACGTAACTTCTCCAAAACAAAACCATCAAACACTCCGACGTTCACCAACTCTATCAATTTATTGAATTTCACCCAATCGATTTGACACACGATTTCTGTCGACAACACCAAACCCAAACTTCTCATCCCTGTCTCTCCACATACATGTCAAACGCAATTACAAATACGCCATGTTAAACAACGTAGTTTGTATCAGAATCTATTTGGCAACACAAAACATGGTATATCTTTTCTTTCTCTATTTAGAGAAACAATTATCTATTTTATTAATTACAACAACTCGTATTCAACATATTGACTATTATGTCCGTGATTATACTATTATTATGTGTATGAATTTGTTATTGGTTGTAGTGATCGTGGAAAATATAACAACAATAACAATTATGTATACAATGGTTATAATATTATATACAACGATTTGAGCAACATCACATATTCTGAAGATGATTGCAAATTCAATTAAAACTTTAAGAAGAATATATATTATATTATATTATGTCATTTGATATGTAATACAAATATTTAAAAAAATAAAAGATCTATTACAAAATGCATAGTGAAAAGTTTTTGATTATGACTCAACATGAATTTCTATATATGTAGTTGCATATAAAAACATTTATCCGATACTGTAGTTATAATTCTCATAATCAGGTACGATTTGAAAACCACAAGTTTCACTGATTTAAATACAACAGATTCCTATGATTCAAAAGCCAACTCTCAAAAACGTGACTTCTATTGATATTTTTAACTGCGTTTCAATGTGGCTCCGTTGATATAAATCATGACCGATCGCATTACCTCAAAGGACACCGGAGGTTTAGTTATAAAACAACACATTTCCTCAGGCAATACTCATTAAAAGGTACAATAAAAGAGAGGCACATGTGCATCAATCATTCTAGCATCATCAGTAGTTCTTTTTTTGAATTTTCTCTTTTCACAGTTGAATTTATATTCAACATCAGACACTTTGTTTGAAGTGGTTTCTTGATCAATGTAAAAGGTGATCACGCATTTGTTATATTCTCATATTGTTTTTTTTGCAACAACAATATTTATCTTTGGTAATACTCACGTCCTGAAGTATGTACTTACTAAATCCGATGAGCTACTATTATATTTCTATTTACTATCAAATATGAATTATAGATGATCTTTTGATAAATATTGAGAGTAATAAAAGGATGCCTTTTATTCGTATCTGATCATACCTTCCACAGATTGGCGAACTATTCGGTTGAGATGATTCGTTTAGTATTGCTGATGTAAGTCTCTCTGTAGAATTAAATAACTAGTACTGTTTTCCTTTTTCTTAGATTTTGCATGCTTTCTTGTCAAGCAGGTATGAGTTATAATAATTTTTTTTTTGCTTACTTTGAAATTAAATCAAAAGAAGTGTTTTGTGATTGAAGCGTTACAACCTTCTCAGCGATCTTATTGCATGCCACGACCAAGCGATGTGCCATGCTCGAGAAATTATGATTGTGAATGCTATTCAATGGCGATGGGAGGAACCATATGTGCAAATTCACTGATTTCATGTTTGGATCTAACATCATGCAATCCGGATGGTGTCACATGTTCTCAACCGAATACAATCTGTGTAGCAAATACTCGATGTCATCGACGAGTTTGTTATCCGATTATTATGGCTGATTCGCAAACACAGTGTCCTCCACCAGAACGAAGTCAGTAGCTCAGTAGCTCTCTATCTGAATAAAATATGCAAAAAAAATTTAGTAACAACAACGGAAACTCCTCTTCCTCCTCAATGTTGGAATTATACGTTGAATACGGATGAAACTCGACATGTCAACTCATTATCAACGCCAAAGTGTGATCCTAACGAGTTTCCTTATTCTCCCAAGTGGGTGAGATTTTCAGGTGCAGCCGGAACCATGATGGCTACTAGTGTAGTTCCTCCAAATCGTTGTGGTGCATATTACACTGGTTATTACACAGGATCGATGCCGACACAGCCTGGCGAAACCGTTACAGGGCAGGTGTGCTACAATTGGTCCACTAGCACGTGCTATATGTCTAATATGATATCGGTCACGAACTGTAAAGACTTTTTTGTTTATGCCCTTAGTAAACCACCAAATTGCTCTGGTCGATATTGTACCGTTTGAATAGTTGACAAGAAAAGAAGTCTACAAATATCTTAAGAATATGAAACAAATTATCTCGTGGGTTTTTTAGCAAACAAAAAAGAGAAAAAATATATATTTATATATCCATCGACCTTCAAAATAAATTTGAATACACTTACTTTTTTCCTCTCGAACGCAGAATAACTTCGGTGATATGAAAATTATGTCAATACATTAAAGACTATGTAAAAAAAAACAGGTTTTCTGGAAAAAACATAAGTTTACTATGAATCAACAAAAAAGAAGTGCGCTTCTATTAGGAAGCTCAAGCAGTAAATAATCAGTGGCGAAAATCGGCATGAAAAATCTAAATAATTCCATAAAAGACTTTTCTCTGTGATTCTGTATTGTACACATGTTCATCAGTCAAAAGTATCATGCTTTATAGCATTTTGGTGCTCTTTCTGACACAACTAATGTTTTCTTGGTATAAGTCTTTAGGTAAATATTTTTTCAAAAAAAATGTCAATCTTCTTCTAATTTTACCAAGGCACAGCAGTGCAGATAAAAACAAGACTCCATTCAACAAAGAACTGGCAAAAGTTCTTAATAAAAAAGATATAAATTAAGCTGAATAAATAACTGATAAACATCAAAACCTCGATTAACTGATATCGAGCGTTGATCGACTATGTTTCAATATTGATTACTTGAAATCAATATCAGTTCAATTCTTCATATAATTTGGATGTTAATATATAACTTTCATCTTGATCATTACTTAATTTTTTTTCCTCATTATAAAGCTGTTCCTGAGGAGGATTTCATTACTTCTATTAAGAGCTAGTTGATCCACTAGACGCATAAGATTTTTTTCTGTAATTTTTAAGAAACAAGTGTATAGTTTTTTGATTTTATGTGAAGAAAAAGAACGAGTAGCAAAGCTTCTGGTTCTACGAAGTCATGGCAAGGGAGTCCTAGAGGTACTCCAAGTGATCCGTCTTCTAGAGCCTTCTGAAGATCGACTTCAATGTACTCTATGCGTTGGAGCTGTTCTTTAAAGCGCGCTACCATTGCCTGTTGCCGACGGTTTTCGACCACCAGTAGTTAGACGGCTATTAGATGCAATGGTGCTTGTGTAACATGAAATAGACAGTGTGAGAAGACTTGATATGAGAAGAAGAAAAAACAAATGCATCACGCTATCTCAAAAGCATGAAATAAAAGCAATCCAAATGATAAAGCAAGCATACAGATTAATCTATTTCAAATTCATCAATTAAAATGGATACTTTAATCAAACAAATGCATTGAAGTTAAAATACATCAAACTATATTTTCATCTCATCATCTTATATGTAATTTTTGTTTCTTTTTTTTAACATAACAATCATAAAAGTTAAATTAAGAAAAAACTTCAGCCTTTGGCCAATTTTTATTGATCATCAAGACATAGTTTCTTCCAAATTGAGATAACTATTTTCTCATGTAAAAATTCGAAACATTTTTGCTATTTTTTATTAAAATTAAGAAGTATCAAATCGTAATGCCCAAAGCAGCTAAACCGATGTGAGGACAAGATGAAGTATGGCAGTATGCATGCATTAATCACATTTAGCTTTGGAATTAAAACTGTTTTTAGAGAATTGCTAATTGAGAGAATGGGTGAAAAACTAATATGGTTATAACTAGTACCATAGTTTTGATTAATAGTCATATGTGAAACAAATCATCGAACTAAAAGTTGACCGTGGTAACTCATACGCTTCCAATCGTAACACTGATCACGTCTGATGGTTTCTTGCATTTCAAAAAGTCTCAATCCATACGTACCACTCGCTAATAGATATCACCTCTGTTTGCAAATAACTCCAGTTTGTCGATTTTTTAACGACAAAAAAATAGTACACGGACAGATGAACGTAACACATGTGGGACGTTAACCTAGCAGTTGTATTACAAGATGAAGAAGACAAAATCGAGCCCTTCTTTTCATAACATATGAACTTTTATTTCAAAAATGTCACTTCAGTTTATCATAATAATGAGCATTTTGTAACGAATATGGTCTTTATAAAGGTGTAAATGATCATTCATCTGTATAAAAACGATGACTCTTGGGAATAAATGTCTTCAAGTCAATGAATTATTGAATTGATTTTTTTTCTTCAGATGTTGATCATAATTAAATTGCTATCCTTTTTTTCTTCAAATTCTATTTTTAAAATTTGTCAAATCAATCAAGACGATGAATGATTATTGAGAATAAAAGTATGCTTTTTATGTTCTTTCTCAATATGATTAATTTTTGTTTTAAACAAAGTTTACTATAAATCATTTATTTTTCTGAATTTCGTTAATATTGTGAAATCTGTTCTCGATTTCGTTTAGTAATTATAAATGGATGGAGTCAAACTATTTGTTCACCATATAGGCTATCGTATTATTTTATTCTACCGATCATTATAGATTGATTTTAATAAAATATTGCCAAATAAAGAAAGTTCTTCATGATTATATATCAATATCTTGACAACAAACCAAACAAGAAAAGTATATTTATATCTAATATACTAAAAGGTTTGAATAATATACGGCATTCATGTCGCGATAATCAGTCGAAAACCGTTATTTAACCGCAATTCTTGTCACAGCTGCATCATTAAAGCTGATTCACAAGATACTACTCAAGTAGATAAATATTATCTGCCAGTCATGTCGTATTCGTTCTTGAATCAAGACGAAAGAGTAAATGTTGTTACTCTTTTTAACAGTGGTTTACTAGTGTTTGTAATGCTTTATTTACATTTTACACAAAAATGATAAGCTTCACGGTGTCGTGTATCATTCGAAAATCAAATATGTACTAACGATATATCTAGCAAAGTTAATAGAACTCAAATTAAATAAGTTGATACATATGTACTTATTTGTATTCTTGATCTCAATTACAGATCTTTAATCAGATTTATTTCTTTATATGAGATAAATTGGAATGCTTGAAATAATGTTGTAAAATACAAAGTAAAACAAAATAAAAATTTCTATCCCAAACAAGAAAAAAAAAACAGAACAAAAATTTATTGTTTGATCGACCTGACTAGCCTTAGCAAAAAAGTATCGATCTCAAGCTATTAATGAACTCTGTTCATTATGTTCATTTTCATTTGAGACTATATTGGTTGAATGTACAACATTTTGTCCTTCTTGAATTATTTCATGACGATTACCACCTACATTTGTTTTCCACATACTTATTATCATTAGAATTGTTAAAATTGCAACACCAATCGGTATAAATGTTAATATATATCTATAATACGAAGCACATTCAGTTGTTGAAGCTAATGTACATGGATTGCACTGTTGAATAACAGCAATAACTATGCCATTAGCAAGTTTATCAGTAAATGACATCATTCCATAAACAAATGCTCCACATTCTGTATTTAAACCAATTAAATCTGATGCTAGTGAAAAAGAACAAATGTTTGTTGTTGATGTTCCTATACCAAGTAAAACGCAAGCTGATATTAATGCTATTTCAATTCGTAGATTATCTTTTAAATCAAAAATAAACCAAAATAATATTGTACTAGATAATGTAAAACAAAGACCAAAGACAATAGTTGATTTTCGACCTAATCTTTTGTTTATTGCACGCATAGGAAAAGATGCAAGTAGACCACTAACATAAGAACATAAGGGAGCAATAGCAACAAATACTCGATTTAATGTTGAGATTGTATCCATGATATACAATGGAAGAAATACCTTAAAAAAACAAAAATATGATGAGAAAAAAATCTGTATAAGATATTTGCTGATATTATAAAGAACTGTGTGATTTAACTTCCCTAAATTTATATATGGTGAGAAGTTAAAACGATTTGAAAAAAATTCGAGAATATGTACTGTTCTAAATACCATTTAGAAAAATAAAGAAGTCGAGATTTACAGTATTTTCTGATTTTAGATCACAAAAGTATATACAATACTAATTCGAAGTACTTAAGGTGTAGAAGTGTATATTCACCTGTGTAACATTAAGAATAACTCTCGCACACATCCAAATAAACGTGCATTGATAAAATTCTTTTTCACATAAAAAACTTTTCCATGTCATACGTTTTAATCTTCCGCTAGATGTTAATGATAATTGTAAACGATATTCTGTTTCTTCAGCTGGTTGTTCAGATTCTTTTAAACCAACATGAAATATAATCATACAAATAAGACCAATACCAACAACAATAAATGTTAATGCACGAAATATAGGTGCATCAGTTGATGTTATATCAGTTTCATCATTACTTGGATGAAAACCTAATAAAATACTAGCCATTGTATAAACAAATATATTTGATATAACAGTCCAAGCATAACGATATGAATTAAGTGCAACACGTTCACCATCTTTATGTGTTAATTCATTAATCATTGCTCTAATTAAAATATAAATTCTACTTTTATTCTTCGTTATAAATAAAATACTTACAAATGTGTTATTTGTGAACATGACCAACCAAATTGAAAAATAACAATAAACATTGTATAATAAATAAACTGTGCCCATAAATCACTATGTTTACATCCAATACATAAATTAAAACAAAATGGAAATGAACTAAGTACACAAATAACACCAATAAGATGCCAAGTTTTTCGTCTTCCATAATGAAATAAACCAGTTCGTGTACGATCCGATTCAAAACCAACAAATGTTGTTGATATAGCATCAGCTATTTGTCCAATTAAAAGTAAATAACCAGCAGATGCATTCGAAAAATTCACAACACGATGATAAAATACAATTAAATATGAAAACCACATTGATGCACTTAGATCATTGAGAATATGACCAACACTATAAGCAAATTTAGATCTTTTTGAAACCACATCTGGTTCTGATACGATCACCTCCATGATGATCTATAAATATATGAATAGAAATAACTCAGTAATAAAGAAAAGGAATAAACTCTTTATATTATTGATAATAAGAAAAATACAAAATCAATTCACAAAACAATTCTTATCATCACTAGTTCGAAAAGACATCATCAATGCAATCTTGCATATTTAATAAATCATCATAATAGGAATAATCTTACTTTAAATATATTCTTAGACAATCAATAGAAGTTCGTAAACTTTTCAATTGTTAGATTATAAAAAAAAAGTATGTGTATTATTAGACGAAGTCCAATCAATTACTTTGTAAATCATTCAATAGAAAAAAAAGACGAAGATTATATTTTATAATTCACCATTCGTCACGATCTTACGCATATTTTTAGACACAAAAAAAAAGAAAGAATCAAGCACAAACACACACACACATAGAAAGATAATCGAGTTACCGGTTCAGTTTTTCAGAACAACAAAAAAAAAGAGTTTTTTATACGATATGATATATGCTAGCAAATGAAAAAGATTAGAAATAAATGAATGAATGATATCAGTGGTACATACACAGAAGACATGAACAAAGAAATCAATATATATTGCAACAAAAATCTATCACAGAAAAAAAAAGAAAAGAATTCATCTAAAGTTAAAAAAAAAAAAGAAAGAAACTCATGTTTTTTTTTTTTTTGTTTAATTCTATTGATCGACTAAAGGCGGTGGAATAGTCGTATTTTGTTTTCCAGCTGTTGTTGATGTTACAGATGATGTTAAATAACCAGCAATTTGTGGACCAACTGAACCACCAGTTATTGCTTGCATATGTGATGATGTTTGAATAAATAAATCATGTCGTTGATCTTTATAATCACTCCATACAGTTGATGATTGAAGTATACGTGATACTTGTTCACGATGAACTAATGATTCAGCCATTAATTTACATGAATCAACAAGATGTGCTTTACATGAACCAGGTTTTTCAACATCAGCTAATGGTTGATTGAGTAATGTAAGGATGTGTTCAATTAATTGGCATCGTAATGCTTCTTTGATAAATTCATCAGGTGTACCAGGTGATGGAGTTCGAAATAAATCATGCAAAGATTCAGCAATAAGTCCTTGAAAAAAAGAAAGACAACGAAAAATTTAAGATATATACAAAAAGGATAATGAATTTTATAGTAGTCTATAGATTTCTAGGGTTTAATTAAATCATATAAGAAATTATCTGATAAAAACCATGAAATAGCCAATATTTTAGAATTATCTATTTAAAAATAATTTTGATAAACATAATAAAATGATTTTCATAATTTCAAATGATACGATCTCATTAAAGGAACAAATATTTTGAGATTACATTCTTTTCGCATGAGATTAAACCTAATGAGATGTAATGTTCTTGTCGAATACTTATCCCACAAAAATGTGTTCATACTCATGTTTTGAAATTTTTGACAAGTGATTATAACTCAGGTTGTATCAGAAAACCGTGTGCAGTATTTCTTTTTTAATCAGGCAATAGAGCGAATATTTAACAACTTGTTGGCAATGACTTTTTAGCTATCACACGGGTCTCTGATCTGCTTACATTTTTATTCATCAAAGAAAATTATACTGCGTACATTTTTTTTTAATATTATTATTCTCAAGTTATTTATTAATGATGAAAACTAATCTTTGAACTAAACTGAATTCATCCCTAGTTCAATCTCTGACGTTGACTTTTTTTTATTGATTATAAGTGAAAGATTATTTTCAAGTATTTCAAAAGTTTTAACTCTGTTTTAGATACATAGGATAAATTTTTTTTTTTTATATTTAAAACTTTTCAAAAAATAAAATATTTTCATACCAAGATGATCACGTCTTGTTTGCATAGCTTGTTTATATCCACTAATAATTTGTGGACATTTTGTTGAAAATGTTTGTAAACAAACTTCCGATTTACAAAGTGCAAAAATAACTTTAATTGCTGATGCAACAATAGCATCATTACTTTTACATTCTAATGCTTGAACAATTGATGGTAAAAATCCAATGGAGGGTAAATGTTCACATAATGTTGGTTGAGCATGTAATAATTGAATTAAACATTGTGTTAACATTTCAAATTCATCTGTATGTGATATAAGAAGTTGTTCTGGTTGTCTAAAACAAAAACAAATAAGTAATTCTAAGACTTCTCTTCGCTAAAAACCGTGATTGCCTTGATACTAATGGTGAAATATTAAATCCCTTTTCTTAATGCGAAATTTATAATTTTTCAATGGAAAGGTCTAGAAATTCATTATGATTTCTGAAGAAAACTTTTAAAATTTGAAATCATTTTTATGAATTTTCATATTAAATACCTTAGAAGTCATGCCTATATATGAGTCTACGAAAATTAGTCGATGCAAAAGATAGTTGAGCAATTTATAATCAAAGAATAAAAGCTTTCAATTATATGAAAAACAAGAATATCAGTTCATAACTTATCTGCAATTCTTCTATTTTTTTGTGACAGTGCCATGCAAAAGTAAAAATAAAAGTTGGATATGAGTCTTCTTGCACCCCCAGATCAACACTCTCAAAATGTTTTTTTTTCCTTAGTTCCATTTTTCTATCAGAATTAATTTCAATATGACTTCCTGACAATCTGTGGATCTACAAATTTTACTTTCGAAAAGAAATTTTAGTTCATACATCGCATGTATCAGAGAAACACATACTTTTCTGTAATGGTTTACATTTTGCTAATAGTGTCTCTCTCTTTTTTTTTTATATTGGTTTAACTTATTCGTTAGCTCTGTTCGACCATTTTTCACTGTCTTTCTATATATTTATCTTCAAAACTGTCTTTTTTTTGCAAAGTCGATTTTCTAGAAGTGAAGGTAGACATTAACTAAAGTCGACAAAAACTGATTCGTTACATACTTTGTATGTGTAGTCCATTGATTAAGTAATTCGGTAAGAAATTCTTTTGGTCGTCGTACAACCCAACCAGGATTAGCAATTAATAAACGAACATAAACTCCACCAACTAATAATTCATTTTGTCTAATTCGTTGTGTTTCTTCATCATCACCTAATAATTGATATGCATCATCAATAGACCATTTTGTTTCTGTTGGTGATATACGTTGTTGTGAATAAAATTCATTAACTTGTTTTCCAATACGTTCACATGTCATTTCACGTGTATGATCATTCCATATTAATTCAGGATTTTCATGTGTTGTTTCATATAATTGTATTGATGTTTCACATGATTCACGCATTGCATCAACAACTAAACTAGGTAAATATTTAATTAATTGTAAACGTATACGTGGACCATGTAAACGATCATTCATTAATTTTGATAAAACATTAGCTGCATGTTCACGTAAATTTGAATTTTGTCCATTTGAAAATATATCAAGTAAATAAAGAAGACCACCACTATCAACAATATCTCGAACAATTTTACCGTTTGATGATAATGCATTTAAAATTTCTAATGTTGTTTCTTGATTTGATATTGATGAACGTAAAACAAGTAATAAATAAACAATAACATTTGATTGTGATATATCATTAACACATTCATTTGAACCACTTAAATGAAGAATTAATTCTAATGCATTTTGTTGTAAACGTGCAACATTTTCCATACGTAATAATGAAAATAATAATTTAAAATGACCAATACATAATGTTTCCATACCCATATTATTACGAATAACATTTTTTAAGGCTTCAAGAGCTTGAGATATATGTTCTTGTTTGTCAAGATGAAGACCTTCAGACGATTTTTTATCATCCTATTCATTAAAATTCATTCCAGATAAAATTTATCTTCAGACTTTATCATATCTCAATGTTAGAATTATTTTTTTTTTAATTTTATAATTAAATTTTAAAAGAATTTTGGCATACTTAGAAATAAAGTAAAAGCATTCGCTTTTGAATTCGAACTCTGTAAATAAGACAGAACCCAGTAAGATATCAAAACTCTCAAAAGAATAAGTGCATTTATGTTTTCTTTCTAGAGTAGTTATAGATATTGTATTGGAACTTTAGCCACAGGCTCGGTAAATACCAACGAATTGAGTGACAGTATTTCCACTTGAGATTTCGTTGAAAGATGGAATTATTTGTCAGTAGAATGTTCTGAAAAATTCAGCTCAAAAGAATATTTCCTTTCCAAGATATTAAAGTTCCAAAAATCATTCATGTTCTGTGAAAGATATTGAAGTCTTCTGTTTTTTGAGACTTTAATATTTTAGGAAGGAAATATTTGTTTGAGCTGACATTTTCTGGACATTTTACTGATAAACATATTTGTTTGTCAGTAAAATCCTAGGTCAAAATACAGTCATCGATTTGTTGGTATTCACCATGCCCAATGCTACAACTCTAGTAAAATGCCTATAACTCAGGGCCGAACGTCTAAGAAAACTTTTCCTTTGGAAGTTTTTCATATCTCACTGAGATCTACTTTATGCACAGAGTCCGAATTCAAAAGCAACTGATCAGTTGAAAACGTTTCCTCATAAGTAGAGTTCAACATAAGAGTTAATTGCTTAAAAATCTGTTCCTTTATCGACATAAAAAAATGTCTACTGCAAAAGTATTCTTGCATAGTTCGAAATTTTTATAAAATGTACGTTCATATTTTCCCAAGATTTCTGGTTTAGGAGATCTTTGAGAAACTCGATAATTAAGTTTGGACGGAAAAAATTGTTTTTGTTACAAATAGTAGTCTCATTTACTGCATAAAACTAAACACAAGATTATTTTTTACAAACTGATATTATGATCAAGAATTTCAGAACAATCCTTCAAGAAAAACGGAGCTCATATAGCGAGTCTGTTTTTCATAAAAATCGAGAAAGTTTACACATTAAATACTTGAAGAAATATGAAAATTAATAGAATAAAAATAGTAAATTCTTTTTTTTTTTTTTTTTGTAGAAAGTAACTTATTTCACATTTGTAAGAAAAATAAAATAAATATTAATCATCTTAAAGATGTTTATTGTTCTACTCACATTAGATTTTTTTTGTTGTTCATTTTGTAACTGCATTGCCATAAGTGTATTTATATATTGTGAACCTGCTCCTAAGAAATCGATTAAATCCGAACAAAATTTTTTCGGATCTTTTAAAGTTGTTGTTGGTTGTAAATTATAAACACGTACAAATATTTCCCCAATAATTAATTCAGTTTTATGTGCTGTATAAAGAAATTCTGATGGATTACCAAATTTGTCAACATTTAATTTATATTCATTTTTAACTAAATAATCACGTGTTTCATCTAATTTATCAATTAATTCTTGTCGACAAGAATTATCCCATACTAAATATGGTTGTTCTTGATTTGAATTAAGTAATTTAAGTACCATACGATCAGGTAACTGTGTTACAATATATGGTGTTAAAAATGTTTGAGCAGCCATTAAAGCTGGTGGATTATTTGGTATAAGTGATGCAAGAGTTTGTAAATAATCATATGCTAATTGATTATCAACATATTGTTTATTACTTGAATCAGCAATACCACTTTCCTAATGAAAATTTCAAAAGATATTTTATTATAACAAAAAAATCAAATGCTTCGAAATTCTCTATGATGTCTTTCAGCTGATGACAGAAGTTCTTCAATTGACTAATCGCTTTTGAGTCAAGACTATTTTGCATAAAAAAACCTGAAATTTTTGCAATAAACTATTCTAATTAGGATCAGTCCCTGTACAAAGTTCCAAGTCGAAATTTGAAAACGAATTTTCTTAATGTTCCCGAGAATCGATCATGTTGGTTCCGAATATAACCATAAGAAGTTCTCGTAAGTCTTTTTATACTGATTCTCTATAAAACAGATCTTTCAAGCTAACATACATTTTGTGAAAATTGTTTGTGATCTACTGATATTAAAAAAGAAACAGATTGAGTTGTCTGCTATACAATAGTCTTTTATATTTTCCAAAAATGATTTTTAAGTAAAATAATATCATTTTAAAGATTTTCAAAGTGAAACGTTGGTATGAGTGTAATGTATAAATAAAAATGACTTTGTTCTCTGTACAAAAACATAATTTTTAAACAGAAAAGTTACTGCTTTCTAGAGCCGTTTAATATTCTCTATAATATAGAAAAACAAAAACTAATTTTTATAGTTTATAACCTATAATCCATTATTGAAGAGAGAAATTCTAATTCTTTTTTTTTTCTATGTCTGAAGCAACGAAAAGAAAAAGAATTTGTTGAATAAATCTAATATTCATTGTATACATATATATACTTACATCTAAGGTATAATCATAATTAAATAAACCTCGACAGGTATAAACAAATAATCCATGACGATGTAATAATTCTCTTAAACGTTCATCACCTTCACATAATGACATAGCTGCTTTACATACACATGTACATAATTGTTTTAAATGAGTATAATTTAAACAATGACATAATTCTCTTAATACACATTGAAGTTTATCAGGATCAATAAATAAATCACGTGATCTTTCAAAATGTCCAGCAACACTATAACATAATGCTGAATACTGACAAACAGCAACAACAAAATCATCAGATTTCGATGATTTTGTTATAACAGATGAGCAACGTTGAAATACTTGTGTTAAAATTTCTAAACCATTTTCACGTCTTAATTCTTCACAATTTAATTCCGAACAATCAAGTGTATAATAAAGTAATTCAATAGCAATGGGCAATAAAGCAGTAGGCTTTGTTGTATTACCCGTTGAAAATAATTGATCATTTTTAGCTTCAGTTTCAAGTATACGTATTAACATTGGATAACCAGCATATTTATATTCAGATAATAATGTTTTAAAACGACGATAAAGAATTGATTGAGTTTTAAGTAATAAATAAATATTAAATTCATTTGGACCTTGTTGAATTCTTGATGCAGCACATAAAAATTCATATGCTTTATTAACACGTTCAAACATGTCACGACCATTTGGATTTTTATCTGGATGATATTTATTAGCAAGACGAAAATATGCTTTACGAATAATTGATTCATTAGGTGGGCCATTCTTAGTTGAAGAATCCGACTCATCTTTTGTATCAAGACCTTAAAATAGACGTAAAACTTATATGACTTCTAAAAAAATTGAAATTAAATAGTTTTTCCTGAAAAATCAAAACTATTTTAAGGATCTAAGAAGAGATTTTCAGTTTCCATAACCCTGGAAATTAGACATATTAAAGTTTAGAATTTTTTTGAGAAATTAATTAACTAACGAAGGAAGATTACCAAGTGTGGCTCGCCGATAGATCTTATCTTTTACTCACATGTAGAGTTCGGTGAGACTAGATAAACCCTAAAAGAATTCATCTCCATACAGAGTCGTTCTAGAGTTATGGCTATTATAATGGTTTTTCGACTTGTGCTCGATATTAACAGAAAAATCGAATGAAGAAATGTTGACCCAAAACTTTGTCTATAAACAGATTTCACAGCCAATACACTACTGTGAAAGTTCTAAACGAAATGGACAATCTCTGCTAGAGATATTAAATACTGAAAACAAAAATTGATTTTCTCTCCTTTCGATGAAAAGTTAGGCTTGAGGACCTTCGCTCGTAAGAGAAGCGTTCGATGATACGAGGTATTTACTCAACGTTCGAAGAATAGCTTATATAAAAAACGAAGCTCTCTTGAAAATCTCCAATTGAACAGTCAGTGTTGTACACAGTATGATTTCAATTGGTTTTCTGTAACTTCGTTTCACCAGAATTGCAGACTGTGGTCTTCTATTATAAAAATTTAGATCGCTTCTCCAAAAGTTTTAAATACGAAATTCAAACCAACAAATATATCAGTGTGCAAATCAAGAAAAATCGTTAGAACTATTTTTTGAATTATATCCTATAAGATGATATAATGTAATGCGAAACACTAACTCAATCAGTAAAACAATATTTAATACATCTATGTATAATGTGTTAATTATTAGTATATTTACCAAGTACTTGATAAGCTTCGTCAACACTCATGTCGCTTCCTTTTTTCTCTAATTCAGTTTTCCACATATTTAAACAATCTTTAAGTAATGCAATTGGATCACGTATAGGCCATTCGGGAAATTTTTGTTCATCACATAAATGACGTAAATAATATGTATTACAAAATAATTCATTTTCTAATTGTGGATAATTAATTATTGGTATTGTACAATATGAATAAATAGCTGAAACATTTGACATTAAGCGTGGAGAGTAATCAGCTAAAAACCAAGCAAAAAAAAATGTATTTTTCAATACGAAAAAGAATATTTTTTATTTTACCTAAATGGACGGCTATTTTTTCAATCATTAAACGACGCATTACATTTGACCAAATTGTTTCCGGTTGATCAAATTCACCTAAATATTACAACAAATATAAATGAAATATTCTTTTTTCTATTTTTGTAAAATATTTACCAAGAAACATTTGTGCAAATTTTTCTGATCCATAATTTTCTAAATAACAAATCATTGCTTCTGGTNTTAACATAGACGATGTGAAGCACGTTTAGCACAATAAATACAAAGATGCACTAAATAATTCTCATTTCTAGTGATATATAAATTTCGAATAGTGATAGATCAATAGCATTACATGTGTAGTGTAACTGGTAAAAAAAATCAGATTTTCCTAATGCGTAGATCAATAAATCAACCCTGGGCAATCAGTCAAGTTGATCACTCCCATATATTTATACGCTTACTTGTGTTATTAACTACATTTTCAGATCCTTAATCAGATTTATTTCCTTATGTGAGGTAAAGTAGAATACTTGAATTAATGTTGTAAAACACAAAAACAACGAAAATACAAATTTCTATTTTAATCAAACACAAACAGAAGAAAATATATTGTTTGATCAACTACATTAGTCTTATCATATGTGTCAGTCTCAATCTACTAATGGACTTCGTTCATTGTATTCATTCTTCTGTGCAACTTTTATTTCCGTATCATTTTGTTTTTCTTCAATTATTTCATAGCGATTAGTGCCTATTTTTGTTTTCCATATACTTAATATCATTAGAATCGCTAAAATTGAAACACCAGTCGGTATAAATGTTATTATATATCTATAATATAATGCACACGTACGTGTTGAAGATAGTTTACATGGATTAAACTGCTGAATAATAACAATGATTATACCATTAGTAAGTTTATCTGTCAATGACATTATTCCATAAACAAATGCTCCACATTCTGTATTTAAACCAATTAAATCAGATGCTAGAGCAGAAGAACAAATGCTCGATGTTGACGTTCCAATACCGAGTAAAACACAAGCTGATATTAAAGCTATTTCAATTTGTACTTTACTTTTTAAATCAAAAATAAACCAAAATAAAATCATACTAACTAATGTAAAACCATAACCAATATTATTAGTTAGATTTCTACCTATTCGTTTGTTTATTGCACGCATAGGAAAAGATGCAAATAGACCACTAAGATAAATACATAATGGAGCAATAGCAACAAATATTCGATTTAATGTTACGATTGTATCAATTGTATACAATGGAAGAAATGTCTTAAAAAGAAAAATATATCAAATCAATGATATGTTAGATTTGGTTTAATGAGGCTTAAAATCTCAGTTGATTAAGAAACAAATCCGATATGTTCTATTGTTGGTTTATCAAGAGTTCTTTTCAGATTGTAGATCATAAAACTAGATACTATTCTCTTTAGAAAATCACATCATATTGATTCAAAATAGATAGTGTAGACAAGTATATTCACCTGTGTAATATTAAAAATAACTCTTGCACACATCCAAATAACTGTGCATTGGTAAAATTCTTTTTCACACAAGAAACTTTTCCATGTCATTCGTTTTAATCTTCTACTAGATGTTGATAATAATACTGAACAATTTTCTGTTTCTTCAGTTATTTGTTTCGATTCTTTTAAAACAACATGAAATATAATCATACAAATGAGACCAACACCAATAACGATAAGTGTTAGTGTACGAAATGTAGGTGCATCAGCTGATGTTATAGTTGACTCACTATGACTCGAAGAAAAACCTAATAAAATACTAGCTGTTGTATAAACAATTATATTTGATATAAAGGTCCAAGCAAAACGGTATGAGTTAAGTGCAACACGTTCACCATCTTTATGTGTTAAATCATTGATCATTGCTCTAATTGAAATATAAATTCTACTTTATTTCTTCGATATGAATTTAATGCTTACAAATGTGTAATTTGTGAACATGCCCAACCAAATTGAAAAATAATAATAAACAGTGCATAATAAATAAATTGTACCCATAAATGACTATCTTTACATCCAATACATAANACTTTTGAGAAAACGCGTTTAAACGCACAAAAATTGGCCTAAAATCAACAAAAAGTGGACGTTTTTGGCGCACACTTGAGGTTCCCGACTGTGAGTCAAAAACGCCCATTTTTCGTCTTTTTTGCGCGCCAAAACGCGTTTACAGAAAAGACAAAAAAGTGGTCGTTTTTTATACTCCAGATGCTTGATCATGATTACAGTCACGTTTCTCAAGCTGGAAAAGCAGAACAACTTTTTTCTTTCTTTTGTATGCGTGTAAACGCGTTTAAACGCACAAAAAAGACGACAAATGGGCATTTCTGGTTCACAGTCGGGAACCTCAAGCGTGAGCCAAAAACGTCCACTTTTTGCTGATTTTAGGCCAATTTTTGTGCGTTTAAACGCGTTTTTTCAAAAGTTTGTCTGCTTGGGTAATCTTCTGTTTGTTCTTATAATTCCTTGAATATCAAGTTCTACAAACATTCAATACTGTAGAGTAATTAACGATACAAAAATAGCATTAAAAATTCTAATATAAATATGAGAACTCATAAAAAAATCTTCCAATTATCGAATTATAACGTAAACTATACAATTTAATATCTTACCAAAATCCTTATCTGGTTCTTCACTTGAATCTAAATACGCAATAAGTCCAAGTGGAAATATTCTTTTTAATAATCCATATGTTGTTGGATGTCCTGTTGACCATAAGCCAAGTAATTGTTGACTGAGATATTTTAATGGTACTAATCGAGTATCATTTGATGCTGTAAATAAAGCTCGTAAAAGATGAACAGGTAAAGCACCTTCACTTAATGCTAAATCTTGCATATGTGCAGCAATATCTGATGAACCTTCTTCAATAATAGCTTTCATAATTGATCCAGCACCTTTAACAATTGTAAATGATGAATGTTGAAATAATTTAAAAAATATTCGTCCATTTGATGATACTAATTCAAGTAGAACATCAAAATGTTGGCCATCTAAAATTTTTTTTTGCGATTAATAAAATAAAAGCAAAAGAAAAACTGTGGCGTTTTTTTTTACTTTACCTGTTGTTTCTGAAAATGGTGGACATAAAGTATATGTTAAAAAATCAAGAAATGATGAAATAATTAATGAACCCGTATTTTGTTTAACATGTTTTAAAAATATATCTAATAAATTTTCAAGAAATTTTTTTGTTGATAATATACTTGATTTATTTAGTTGTTCTTGACGTAAATCATAATCTAAATGCATTGGTTGTAATAGGGTATTTAACACTTCTAATGCTGAATATGTTATTTGATCATCATTTAATTTTAATGAACGAACTATTTTTGTTCCAATACGTTCACGAAATTTCGGTAATTGTGTAAATGCTTGAAAACCAGCTTTTGATGCTAATAAACGACGAAAAGCAAGATATTGATCTTCGATAAATTCAAGATCAACAACATTATTAGTTGTATCAGTATCAAGTAAAGTATTTAATGCTGAATGAATTAATTTTTCTCTATTTTCAGCAAAGAGACCTGAACAAAAAACAAACAAACAAAAGGTTAAATCAATGAGAAACACAAAAGAAAATAAACATGGAACTTGGCAAAGATATTTTTATCATAATATTAGATTTATTGTTATTGAGCAATGATATTATACAAACTTAGGAAGATGACAGATTCCGAGATGTCCATGTCATGTGGAACTGATATTTTACTCATAATTTGGCCTTAGTGAGTTATGAAAGGCTTCCAAAGGGTTTATGTTCATGGCAATCTACGATGTGGAGCAAACTTTTATGGCCCGAGTTAAATTCTGTTATTGAATACTTATCTCTTTCTCTTGAGAAAATCAATATATGGATTATTTTTCTTTCCTTTTATTTCGTAGTTGAAAATCAAGGATATGTGTTCGGTTTTTCGCCTATATTCAACAGTGGGGACAAGACGATTATATCATAGAATCTTTTTTGGTTTGTCCTTCTTTTCTTATGTTTAATACCTGCGACGTTTATATTACGAAATTCTAATTTTTAACAGGCTTTTATATTTGAAATCAACGGTTCAATCCCCTAGAAAATATCATTATACATCTTATATAGTTTAGGTCAAAGAGTATCGAATAAGTCTTTGAAATAAAAGTTCAAAACTAAATAACTCAACCGATGATGATTTCAACGTCTGAGCAACATTGAAATTTGAACAAATCCAAGTTTCAATAGTCAGTGTCGATGTTTATCGAAAAACATTCTGCTACTTTTCTAAAATTATGTCCAGCGTTATTGAACTGATATAAATACGACGAGTTTCTAAAGTATTTTTCAACATATTAGTAAATATTCTTTTGATCGTATACTTCAATTCTGACTTACAGCAACTAATGGGTGTACCTAAAGGAATAGTTCTCTCAAAATTCTGTTGAAAAGCTTTCAATATCAAAAGTTTATCATGAAATAGAATGAATTGAGGAATGTATTAGAGTGCAGTGATCGATTAATATTCAGCTTTCATACTTATAATAACGTGAGATAGGCTATTTTTAATTGAATATCAGTCTTCCTTGTATTATCGATACCGTCCATGAATAATCACAAGAAAAAGATGAGGTGTCTCTGAAAAATATAAAACATGAATGACATCTAACTTTCATCAGAAATTACTAGGGCTACAAAAATAAGGTGGTAGAATTTTTTTTTGAGTTTTCTATCCAAATGCATTGTATAAGAAGATTTCATAGATGAAGTATGATGGCAAGGTTTCTAAAAAATGAGCGCGATAGGTCTCAAATATCAGAAGACTTTATCGGAGCTATTTTTTAACAATGCCGTTTTAAAGAACACAAAGTTCTGAACAAAATGAGAGTGATTGGATGTTCTATGACCATCCCTTGAAAAGTAACAAGTATCACAAAAATACTGAAAACGACGTTGGCTAGCTGATTTCTGTGATATTTTTAACTTTTTAAAGGAAAGTCATAGAAAATGCGACGATTCTCAGTAGTCTTCTGGGACCTGAAAACTACAATTTCTAATTCTTTATAAATCCTGCGACAATAGTTCATCTATGAAATCTTGGTATAGAATTCATTAGATAGAAAAACCTCATTGATTATTAAAATTACTATCTGTATTTGAACTAGATACTTAACATTATCGAAAAAAAATTGCAACTACGTTATTGTTAAACGTTTTTCTTCCACCTGGCACAAAGGGTAGACTATAAATAGGACTACAATAAAAAAAATGAAATATATTCGCGTCAATTCAATCAAATGCACTGTTTTTTTTTTGTTAGTAGTAGAAGTTTTTTCGAAGTTTTTTTTTTTTTTTCATACAGATAAGGTAAGCAAATACTACTATTACGTATTATTTTTGGTATCATGAAAACAATCCTACCTGTTATCAAGTAAGAAAAATACATGTGTAACATTTCATAGATCATTTTCAGTTGCCATCCAAAAGAATAAGAAGAAATCAAAACGAACTATATTGATGGATATAAAACAAATTTTCAGAACTAATTAGTTTAAAAGCGAACGGTTACAAAATTTTGAATTTTCAAACATAGAAAATTATTTATTGCAAGGAAGTTGGTGTTTTGGTGAATTACTATAAAAATCTCGAAATACAAAATATGAAATGAAATAAGATTTCAAATAGTTCAAGTTCTCAAAATAAAACCTCGAAAAATATCCTCTCATTCGATTACCACTTGAATAAGTTCCATGTAAACATTTCTACCTAGCGAGAATTTTTCTTTTAGGTCTCCTCTGTCCATTCTTGAGAGTGGGTGTGTGAAAAAAGTAGGAGTGACACTTTATCTTTATGTCAACAAGTAAAGTGAATTAGAATACTTAAAATTAATTGTTGATTTTCTAGCCTAGCATCGTACACTGATAATGGTACTGGACCCTTATTAAAGTATGATGTTCGACTTCAAAATCTATATTAAACTGTAAGTATCTAAATTTATTTTACTTTTTTCAAATTAAAATTAAAATTAAAATGAAGTACCATCTCTAGTGAAAAGATTATCCACACCCACACCCGGTTTCTTTTCGATATTATTTTGTTTTGAGTTTTTTACATCATACTGTTTCAATACGCTAAAGGCTGTCATTGTGTATTTTACTTATAGGGTATGAATGTCAACATTCAAACTGACTATTTTTGAAAAACTGTTCTGTGTGCATCAATATAATTTGTTGTGACGTCTTCTTATTCTATTAGACAACAAATGGAATTTATCAATGAAGCACGTCATATGCATTTTTCTTTATATAAGTGAAGTTCATGTAGCAAGGCCAAAAATGACAAATAGACAGTAGTATTTGCTTACGTTATTTGTATGAAGAAAAAACTTCAAATAAGCTTCTACCACTAATGAGGTAACCGACCGAGGTGATACTTCACGTTTGCGATGAGGACCCTAGTCATTACATAGGATCTGTTGAGACTACGAGAAACCTAGCAGAATTCTTTTCCATGTACTACTTTTTTGAACTTCTAACCGTCACAGTGGATTTTTTACCTTTGACACGATATTTATACAATAACTGAACGAACGAATTTTGGTCAAAATTCATTTGTTCATTTTTTTTTAGTAAGTTCTGTACCAAAGGTAAAAAAGAACCACTGTAATGGTCATAGTTCCGAAATAGCAGCATATGCAGAAGAATTCGTCTTTATTTCTTCTCGTCTCAACATGCTCTATGTAATGACTGAAATATCATCTTAAACGCCAGGAATAACCTTGGGTGGCGTTCCCTTAAACAAAAAAAAATCATCAGCTCATTCGAGTGAATCGAAGCAGAGATATTCCATCATTTTTATCGTATTATTATTTTATGACTCATCCTACATTTTAATTGCAGTAAAACAACTATGAATCATATGCCAAGTTTTTTGGTTTTCTTAAAAACAAATTAAAATTTAATTATACCTTCGGAAGAAACAGCATTAATAAGTCCACTATAAGGTACATTTGCATTAAATCGTTTAAGAATTTCATTAAATGAAACACCACCTTGGGATGTTGATGGATTATTTGAATCTTGTGGAGAAGAAAGTCGACCTACACAAACAAACAAAAAAAGACCTCACTTAAATAATTCTATAGAAAGAAAAAAAAAACAATTTCTACCCGATGGTGGTTGTACAAGAAATTTTAAATGTTGTATTTCAACTTCATCATCAACTAAATGTCCAAATGGTGAAAAACGTTTTCCTCTATCAGTTAAATTTGTTTTAACACAACAATCATTATTTCCTGCTGAACGTACACTATCCAATAATGTTGCTAATAAAATATCACGTTCAGTTGATGTATATTTACATTTTGATCTTGTTGGATTATTTCGTATATATTCAATAGTAAACTCTTGTAATGAATCTTTATGTCGTACAAGACCAAATATTTCATTTAATGGTTTTAATGTACATATATGATATGTAGCTGGATCACGTTCAATTAAACATGTTTCAGTTAAACAAAGTAATCGTCGAACATGATCAGCATGTCTTGATGAATGTTTATAAACAATAAATTCTGCAAATGATGTTAAATGTTCATCAGATACATATGTTGGACCAAAACGTAATTGACTATAATCATTAAGTGTATAAGATTTTTTTGATAAACGTATTTGTACACCTAGATTTGTATGTGCTAAATCAATTATATTTTGAAATAATGTTGATGTTTCTGTTGTAACAAATGCATGTAAACGTGCATTATATTTATCTTGTATAAGAAATCCACGTACTGTTGTATCACCTTCACTTGTTAATGGTATTAATTGTTCAATATCTTTATATTCATATGAACATAAATAACGATTTGTAGTTGCATCAATTTGTTCAATGCAATATGATTGAATACGTAAAAGTACTGGTGTACGTTGTGATGACCAATGAATTTTTGTTGCTTGAATTATTTTCGGTTGATTTAATGATTGTTGTTGATGATAAAATAATGTTTGAAAACGTAATGCATCAGTTATGATATCCGAACGATATTCACTTGAAAAACGCATTGTATCATTTTTTTTTGATTTTGTTCGGAATGTTAATATAAATTCTGCTATGGGTGATGAATTAGATAATGTTTGTTGAGATTTATCAGATATATTCGAAGATTTTGATAATGTTAATGATACAACTTGATCATATGACCAAGCATTTGTAAGACCAAGTGTTGATGGTTCATATGTACTAATACCATGTGTACCAATGGAAAATATTCGTTTATATTTACCGCGCCATGAATGTTTAGTTACATGATAACAGGAAAGATCACGATTGTCTGGTATGTTATGTGTCATTGTTTTAAATGTAGCATCTAGATGATGTTAGATTCGAAATAAATATGAGACAAAAATGAAGAAATGAGGAGTAGATAAGAAGATAGAGAGAAATTTGGCACTCTAACACTCCTACAGTTATATGATAAGGCTCAGTTAGGTAAAATAATCATGCTATGAAAAATGAAAGATACCAATTGGAAAAGAATATGAAACCAATAAGAGTGTAGACGAGAGATGGCGAAAGATATCATTATTCATTTTTTCGTGTTTACCGTCTAAATGCTATTAATGTTGATTATTAATGAACCGGAATAAGAAGATTTTCTTGTCTATTGTTTTGTTTCATTTGAGATTCTCTACAGATTTGTTTTTAGAAAAAAAACGATATTATGTTATGAAAATTTTTCAATCGGATATATATGTATTGATGATTTGGCTTGTCAACTAAATTTTTGTCCATGTTACTGATTTCTACGAGACAAAAAAACCTTTTAAAAAGTTCTTCTCATTATCTTTAAATCGCATGAAAACATGATCATTTTTATAATTGTATTATTGAAAACAAGTACTTTTGGTTACCACAGACGAATGCATGATGAAAGCAATAACTGCGTGATGTGCATGTATCTGTAGAAAAACTATATATCCATTTAAAAATATTATTTCTTAGGTTGATATTGCAATATATTGTTTGCTTGGTACAATATACTTTGGTTTCTACTCAGTCCAATAATACTCTTAACTGACTGATCTGATTGACAGTGTGAAACATCACTGACGTGAGTGAGGTTGTTGTCAACCTGTAGTAGTGTCTATATCTCCTTGAGAAATAATAATATGAAATGAATATTGAAAAAATATGGTGATCAAACGTACTGGTACCCTATATTATTGATTACAGTAATGAGGTACTTATTTGCATTTTAATATAAAAAAATTTAGGTTTTATCAGTTTTATTTAACATATATTTTCCATAATAACTATATAATAAATTAATATAAACCATACATAAAAATAAATTACTGTCATAGTGAAGTTACATCGATTGTCAAAATTACTTCAGATCAATTAATGACATTAAAATCGAAAAATAGATTTATAATTTTTTTCATTTTAAACTCATGTATATGATATTTTTACGAATAAATATGGAAGAATTTATTAAAAAAAAAATCAATGATTATGTTTTATTAATATTTGTCATCATAAATAATACTGAAATGTGATATGTATGACAAAAACAATCCAATTAGATGATGTCTTTATTTGACTCAGTGTGAGTCGAAATCTAATTAATTTGTTTCTGTATAAAACATTTTTCTTATTAATATTAAGTTAAATGTTTTCAAAAACCACAGTATAATATTTTCGAGATCTACTTTATTAGCTATGGAGCTTAATGTCGCCAGTATAGATCTGCAATTATGTGAAACATTAATAAAATATAATCATTGACTTTTCTGAATGAATTCTTCTACATTCGTTTGTAAAAATAGGATATTAATGATTTTTCAATTTTAATATTATCAATTAGAATTCATATTTATCTGGTATTAAGTTGATCAGAAGTAACTTTGCCAATCGTTGTAACTTCGCTACGACGTTTACACAGATAGGGAAAAAAAATGAACGATTATTAAAATAGAATGTTGATTTATCATTGTTTTAAATAAGATTATTATTTTCATCATATTGAATTTGATTCTGTTTTGTATTTGTTATGGCTAATAATGACTGTTCATGATCATATCCAGCAAAATAACTATGTTTCAAAGCATATCGAGCAGCAATACGTATTGTTGGATCACAAGTTAATAATCTCTAGAGAATACAATAATAACAAATCTTTTTTTCTATTACTTGGATTATGTTTTTTTCGTCTATTACTTTAAATAAATCATAGGCTACTTCATCATTATCTACGATTTGTCTTAGTTGATTTTTTTGCATTTTAAATTTTGGAAAAGATGATTTAAACTGTGGTAGTAAAAATATATTTGGCCAAACATCTTCATTTGGTGTACCCAATATTCTATTTAATTATAATTTCTATTAAAACATTAAATTTTGAAAAAATTTTAAAAAATTACTTAAAAATTTGAAATATTTGATCTATTTCAGAATCACCACGAAATAAAGGACAACCTTGATACATTTCACCAAATATACAACCTATTGACCACATATCAACTAAAAATTAATAAAAAAAACACAGGCTATTAGCACAATCCCTATGAGATAAATTTATGGAACACTATGTATCTTTTGTTGCTAATTACAGAAAAATGTTTTTATTCTATGCATTTTGGAGCATATATCTTCACCATTCTTTTACTTAATTCTCGAAAAATGTAATCAGGAAGATGTACATTTATTATAGAGAGACGTTATATGGTCTGTGATTGTATATTAACAATGTCTGCCGCAGCGTGTAGAAGGCAGCAAGAATAAACCTGCTTTTCAGCTAGCTTACAGTAGGAGATACTGCCTAGTGACAGATTTAATACTCGGATATTTTCTCTACAAGTAATACTAGCTATTGCTCTTGACTGCAAGACAGTCTAATGCACAGTTCTTACGCTCCCCACATACACTAACTAACCACAAGAGCAGATGTGTATCACAACGTAGTCAGCATGCTATCGAACGAATGAATTCGAGACAAACAGCCGTTATTGTCCTGTCTAGAGTCGTGCTATGGTTGGTGATACTGAAACCTCTACATACCACCTTGCCGATGTGTGTCGAATAATGTAGCTATTCAGTCAAGATGGCTAGGGAGGTCCAAATGTTTATCTCTACGATTCAATACTCCTTTGAAATCGTGTTTAACAAAATCAAAAAGAAAACTGAATTGATTTTTATTCTTACCAGGCGTTCCGTATGTTAATGATCCAAGCAAAATTTCAGGTGCTCGATACCATAATGTAACAATTTCATGTGTATAAATTTTCATTGGAATAGCAAAAGCACGAGCAAGACCTAAAATTAAAAAGATAATAAATATTAATTAAAGAAAAGAAAACATCGAAATGAATTATTCTACCAAAGTCGCATAATTTAATTTGATTTTCATGATTAACTAAAATATTATGTGGTTTTAAATCTCGATGAATAATACGATGTTTATGACAATAAAATATAGCATCTAATAATTGATACGTAAAACTCTAGATGATGAATATTATAGAACGAGAAATAAGCATTTTATCTTCTTTTTTTTTTCTTAATTAATTATGTTTACTTTAATTATTCGTCGATCTAATGGTCGATTTCTATCTAAATAACGTTTTAAATCTTCATCCATATATTCAAGTAAGAAATAACATCGTTGATCAGTTAAAAAAACATCTTGTAATTTAATTATATTTGGATGATTAAGTTGTTTTAGAATAGCTGCTTCACGCATAGCTGTTGCTGGAACTCCATTTGTTTCATGTTCATCTCGAATTTGTTTAAGAGCATATATTTCACCAGTTATTTGATGACGAACACGAAATACATCACCATATGTACCTAAAGTAAAATAAATCAAGTTAATCGTAGAGAAGAAAACAAAGAAAAAGAAAATCGCCAAATAAAACTAATTTTAACCTCCGCCAAGTTTGCCTATTCGTAGAAAATCACTTTCTAATTTTTGTGAATAATTTTCAATTTCATGCCAAGAGCAATCCATGAAACCACCATATCCTGTTGAAAGCATTACTTTTTTTTCTCTTGAATATAAATAACAATAAGTCTATTATCTTGTTTGCACGCGCATGTAAAGGCAAAATCATCTATAGTTTATATATATATATGTATGCATACTAAATGTGACTATTGTTTTTTCTTTTATCATTCTCTCTGGATAAAAATGAACTACAAAAATACATCAACTGTCGATGTTTTATTTTAAGTTGTAACTTTATGAAAAATTATATATTGAATTTAATAAAGAAAATTGAAATAATTTTAAAAACAGTTAAGTTTTAAAACTGTACAAAAGGTTATGACCAATAACGATCTGTTCTTGAATTCATTGAATATATACAATTGTTTTCAATGGATACATTGGAAATAGGAATGAATATATAATCTAGCAAATCACTATTAACTCGTCGTAAATTTCCATATTGATAGTGTTGTCGAATTGATGAATAATTATCTGTTTGTGTACCTATAGTTGAGATACGTGCTAAAACATTTGAAATTTTCTTCTTAAATCTAGTGATCAAAACAACAAAAAATTTAAAATCGATTACTTTGATCATAATTGAAATCTTTAATATTTTCTTCATGATTTATTTCATCGAAATCAGAAATACTATTCGATAATGAATTATAACTATGAAAAGACATTGTTTTTTCTTGTTCAGATATTTGATGTGATTTTTCTGATAAATATAATTTTTTATTTTAAATAATAATAGGTTGAATTTTTATCACAAGACAGTGGCGGATCTAGAATTGTAGAAGGGAAGGGCGATTTTCGAAAGATGCGGCGGTTATAGGCAAAAATCACTTTTTGAGACTTATGCGAGGTAGTAAAAACCAGTTGTTCGTACGTTTTTGCTGAGAAAAAACAAAAAAAAATCTCTGGAAGGGGGAGGCGATCGTCTGATCGCCACCCCCCTAAATCCGCCACTGTCACAAGAATTACTTTTTGATGAGGTTTTCCGATAGATTCTTTTATCATATTGATATAATGGACAAGGTATAAATAATTCTTTATTATATTTTGATATTGAATTTTGTTTTGTCTTTAATTTATTCTAAAATATAAAGAATTACATTATGAATTCGAATTATTTTTTATAACTTTTTTTTGAGTTTGTAAACAAATTGATTCATTCAATAATTGCTTTGTTTTCTTTATATTTATTAATTGAGATAATGCAATCGATGATGAACTACTATTATGATTTTGATAACGTGAATGATTTTTATTGAAGAATTTTTTTCGACGATGACATTTTTCTGATCTATGATTTCCCTTATGTAATGCATGAAGAATGATAGTTATGGATGAAGAAAATGACGTTGTTGATAATGAAGATAATGATTCTGTTTTTTTACAAACTGTACTTGTCTACATATGACATAAAGATACATTGAATTATTGTATTATGATGGACGATTGAATAGTCTTTAAACAAGATGTTTGTGCAGTTTTGACGCACTTGAAAGCATATTTTAGAGAAGACCAACACTATAGGTCACGACCAAAATTTGAATTTTTGACTTAGGAATATTTTTCTTCAAGAGTAGCGAGACATTTTTTGAAAGATCTAAAAAATTTGTTTTAATCATCAGTCAAAAGATTTTGTTCATTCTGTAAGTCCTTTCTTGAACATGTTAAAAATTGTCAGATGAAGTTGTTTTATACAACAGACATTTCTCTACAAAATGTAAGCTGTAGCTTTTACCCAAGCATTTTTTTTTGAAGAGCTCTTTTCAACGTAAAACGGTTGTTGATTTTTTAAAGATGAGGATTTACGAAAAAAAAAGAAGAAAACTGAGGTGCTTTGCAGAAAGACAACAAAAATATTTCACATAGTACATTTGATAGAGTAACTTTAATTCAGACTATTTTTTTGAACTTTTCAAAGATTATTGCACTACTTTTGAACAAAAACTAAAACAAAATTTCTAATTTTATATTCGAAAAGAGTACAAACTAGTAGTTTTTGACTTGTTAGAAATACTTTGTAGTGGATAAAAACTGAACAAACATTTTTTTCTAGAAACTGTCTGACTTACTTTCAATGTATTTTTAGGTTGATTAAGTAGACTTGAAGAAGCAGACGATAAACTTGATGATGATGAAGATCTATGAACTTTATGATTATTATTAATTGAAAGATAGTATTGTGGAATTTTATTATTTGAATTTGAATTTGAATTATAAAAATTATGAATAGATGAATATAGATTTTTTGAATTGATCAACATAATTAATATTCAACAATAAGACAAAAATTGATTTATTTAAAAGCGGGAAATATTTTTGAATGAATAGTTTATTAGATTATTAATTACTAAGGAACAATTTTTAATTATTATTATTTGGTTTTATACTGAACTTTTTACCTTATAACCTACTTTCATCCTCGTGTTTTCTATGTATTCTTTATACTATTTTAAGAACTTTTTAATAAAGGATAATCAATAATACTTTTTTACTAAGATTCTTTTCACTTGTTCTTTTATTCATTATCACTTCGTTAAGTGCATATGTAATTATTTAATTAATCGTCAACAAGGCAAAAATATAAAGAAATTAGGAAACATTGTATGTTTGTGATTGTCTGTAGTCTTTCTATATTAACAGCACTACTTCCCTAGCATTATTCATTTCAAATTAAAAAAAAGGAAATAACGAAGAAAAGTCTATAAAAAAGCGTACCTTGATTTTTCTTTTACTTTGATATATGATAACCTCGTTGACAACTTTGATTTACTTCCTGTAATTTACGTCTATTATTATGAATGAAATTTTTTCGTGACATGTATATATATTGGCTATGTCATACTAAATGGGACGTACTTACCTTTCACTTGACATTGACTTTTGAGAAGGATTATTTTTCTGAATAATTTCTTATAACAGAGGGATGTAAAAATGTGTTCGCTCTGTCAGAATTAAAAATTAATTAGCTAATATCTCTCTAAGCAAAAGAGAAAAAACTTGAAAACTTCAGAATAAAGTATACGGTATGAACTCTCAGTATGACGAAATTTTCAGCAAGATCATATGCCAAAAACCTTCCTCTTAAAAACCGTTTTTCTAGAGATTCTAAAGAAGGATTTGTACTGTTTGCAATTGGTTTTGAACTTCTCGTTTGATAATATAGAGCAGTTTTTCGTACTCTGTCACATCACTAGTGAATGATTTAGCCAAATATTAATTTTATTGCATAAAAATCTCATTTAACTATCACGCATTTGTTATCTACTATATTTTTATTAATTTGCCAAATCTCTTAGAAATTTCATCCAACCTAGTTTTCAATTATTTAAAGTTTGAGAATTGTTCTTCTTCTACTCTTTCCTTTAATATTCACCACGTACTTTTCATGAACCATATGTCAGTAAATTTACCATGATCTTCTTTAGACAAAACTCTATTATTAAATAATTCATCAACAGCTCAATATATTTTCTTTCCATTTCGTTTCGCACGCGATGCTTTCATATATCTTATCCATTTCAAGGCGATTATGTAGTCCATAGCACGACTGAACATGTAACCAATGGATCATGATGACTGCTTAGTAAAATTATAAGATAAATAATTATTGATTTCTACTGCTATATATTTTATGTAGAATTGTTCAACACAATTAAAACACAGACGCTGGTCGATTGGGCAAAAATTTATTCTCACATTCTCATGTCGATATTTTTATTATTACAATAGAAGATTTTACCCAATAATGTGTCATTGGAAAGACTGATAAGTGCACTGAAAACATATAAACGAATTTCGTTGAATCTCAAAAACTTATGAAACAATCTGTACAATTAAAACAAAAATAGATTAACTATTTTTGTTTTTTGTGCATTCAATAATATCTTTCGATTTCACCAAATACTTTACAAGTTCAAGCACTTTAGTCGATTCATTATTTTGGTACAAGCATCTTGAGAGTGACGACAGTTGTAAGTATACATTTAATCCGAACTTTTATCCATATGTTTACACTCGATTCGCCATTATCTATTTGGACGATTGTTGAATTTTGTTCGGGCATTTTTTTTCTTCTATTAGACTAACGCGTGCATTTTTATTTATATTACTTGTCGGTACGATCGTTATGTTTACAACTTTTTTTGTCTTACTTTTCTTTTAATCCGCTCCACTTTTAAAATGACACGTGTTCGTATAAATTTATCTCTAATCGAATTTCTAATTTTTTTTCGGTCGGGTTCGGTATTGTAAGTTTGCCTACCACATACATATATATCGCATTGGTTGCATTTTACAGTATAAATTGGATCCTTTTTTTGTAAGTTTTATCATAATAAAAAAAGGTCAAAAAGAAAATATTTGCTTAAAAAATGTTTCAAATTCAAAATCAAAAAAGTACTTAAATCTCCGTAACATTTTACAAAAAAAAAGCTCTTTCATTTTCATTACAAACAAAATAAAAATCGTGTATTATTTATACAAAGTTAGTATTATGTCTAGATATGAACATATTATAAATAAAGTCTTATTGTTCACAAAAACAAGTATTCTTTGTTTTTTTTATTTAAATTATTGTAATCATAATAGAAATTGTATATTTTCGACGGAAACCAGATGACCGGGAATAATTTGTTCCATAGATAATAATAAAGTATATACAAATAAATTCAAATATAGAAGCACAAATATACTCTCTCCATGTCATTGGCTTCATAGAGGAAAATTAATAATAATAGTAATAATAATAACGAAAAAAAGCGACAAGTATATGATAATGGAAAAAAATGAAATACTGTTTCTATCATGATCAAGTACGTTGTTATATTTAAGAAAGAAATAACGAAAGAATAATTATTAATCCATAAATGTCCAAACTTCAATACTCGCTATTATAAAATCTTCATTTGTTGTTAAGCGTTCATTATTGAATGTTTTAGTTGAACAAGTACGACCATGATATAAATCAGCATCAAGCCATAAACCATATGTACCCCTAAAAATAATGTCAAAAGAAATTGATAAAAAAAAGAAACACTATAAAAGATTTACTCTCCACTTCCAAAGCCAATTGAATGAAGATCACCTTTGACAAAGAATTCATTATAACCTGACCAATTAAACACCTAAAATAGATATAATTATTCAAATTTACCTTATCATAAAACAGTGAATTAATACTCAACTAACTACTTCTAACTGTTCTATTTGAATAGTAACATGAGGAGATGTTTGACCTGTTATGATCATTTACTAAATGAGTCATTGGATAATGTTCTCAACAGTTCATTCAAATAAAATAAATAATGATGCACAAAATTACTTTCCTTTAGAATCCCCATCATACTTGAACTCAACCGGCGTTTATTTTCACGGCTCATCAACAAGCATTTATAACTTATAATCGTTTTCAAAATCAACCGGTGAAAAATACTGTCTTGAAGCATTACTTTTGATATGCGTGTAGACTATAATCTTAATGTGTTTCGGAAAAACAGAATGCTTATCTCTTTCTAATCATGAATAAATTGCGCGCTATATTCAAATCAATGTTTCAGATAATAATAGCATCACTGTAAACAAGTCTTGTTAAATAAATACAATCTGATATTTTTAGTTATAAACAAGTAAAGTTATTGAATGAAATTAATTAGATAGTGTTATTGATTTTTCATAACAAATCAAAGGTCACAGATTTATATTTATGCCAAAAGTGTATATTATAAGATTATAGTTTTCATCGATGTTTTTTCTTACAATTATAACGAGTACTCTTTTATTAATATTGAATAATGCAATCTATTTAGTCAAAGTATGATGGAGATACTCAAGATTTTCTTTTCAGGAAACTAATTTTTAGACTATTCTGAATAGGAAAACAAGAACAAAATGACCCAATTACGGAAGGGAATTGTTTTAAACACAGCGATACCAATTAGCGTCAATAGGTGGTAGTTCTCTTGATATGTTCATTTTCTGTTTATGTCAATGCGCAATTTCCCAACTGTGTATTCTTACTCGAAAGTCAGGATGAAGTGTGAAGAGAAATGATTCTCCAGTACCATAAAAGCCTTCACTAATCATTAATTGATGGGATGTAAAAGCACCAAATATCTAATAATACGAAAAAAAAACAGAAACATATTTAAAATAATGTGTGTTGTATTTTTTCTTTTACTTTTTGTTCGACATCTTTTACAATAACTAATGCTGGTGAATCATGATCAACTTCTAATGATCGACGATATAATTGGTTTAAACTAAATCCATGAGCTTCCGTACTAAATATCAAATACCAATTAAGAGCATGTACACGAGCTGGTAATTCAACTAAAATCTTACAATTAGAAAAAAAAAATTCGCTTAAAAACATTTCAAAACAAAAATTTATTCGATATACTTGTTTTGATTGTTCTTCATTGATTAGGGTTGATGGTTGAAGAAGTTTAGGCGCTGGAATACCAATATCATAGTCACGTGTATGATGTGCTTGTACTGAGCTAATACGTCGGTAAATTTCATCTACACTGATAATCTAAACAAATAGAATAATCTTTATTTAAATGTCTTGTCTTCGATAAACTTCAATAAATTATTCTATGCTTTTCTTCTTCTTTTTTTTGTTATATACCCCAGGAGAAGAATGTCGTCCATCCGATGAAGATGAACGAACATGTGTTGAATGATCACTTAATGTTGATGATAAAAAACTTCTAGCGCGCTTTTTAAAACGTGTTAATTGTTGTTGATGATGAGGAATTTGTTCGAGAAGATTTTTTTTTGAATCCGATAAACGTGTTGCTAATGAATGGAGAGTAAAACGACGTGTACGAGATGATGAAGATGGTATTTGAGATTCATTAGATGTACATGAAGTTTTTGATGATGCCGTAGATAAAGTACGAATCATACTTAGATTTATTCTTCTGTGGTTATACAATTATAGTTATAAGGCACCACAACTAGAGAGAGAGAGAGAGAAAGACTATTTGAGCTTCTCTCCTTCTCTCTATGTCTCTCTCTCTCTATCTATCTATCTTGTCCTATCTATGTTTTTACCAATCCTTTGAATAGTTGCTGCGTGTGCGTATGTTATTCTTTATTCTTCTGTCTCGTCTTCCATCGTCATACTGCATCAGAGAACACATATGATTATGTTGAAAAGAAAAAGAGAGCAAAGAACATTAAAAAAAAAGACATGAAAATATGAGAAGAAATTGTCGATTGTTTTGTTAGATGTTGGATTTTTAATGATTACTAGATCTATTGATGGTTTATAACTAAAAAAGTACTATAATAAGACAGATGTATGGATCATACAAGGCATAGATATATTAACAAAAGTATATCTTGTCATCTTGTTCTTATGTTTCTTTCATGGATTATATTACTCTCTAACATGCCTTGATCCTTCAACTAACAAAACATTCTCACCGTTCTACATTCTTTCTCATCAATTCGTAACATACCACTATAAAATCACGTTCATCGACATATCATATGAATGTTAACCATACAAAACGAAAAAAGAAACATACGAGAAATCAATGACGCTCGATTGAAGTGTTGATGATTACTAGTTTTTGGAGTTTATGGTAATAAAATTAATAATTAAATTTCTCCTATCTATTGAATTAATCAATTTCCATATTCAAGGCTATATAATACTCAGATTTAATTTTATATTTTTACAAATAAAAAGAATGTATAAATGCATTAAGTTTTTTTTTTCATTCAAATAGATCCATTAACAACAACCATTAATTCCTTTTTACAAGTCTATTTCCGTTCAACAAAAAAAAAATGGTACTAACGATATTAGCATACATGTCACTGAAACAGGTCAAAAGAAAAAAGAAAATTTTGCATACGATTTGGCAAATACACTAACAATCATAAGATTAAAACGTCATTGAAAAAATAGATATTAAGATTTACCTTTAAAAGTAAAATAGAATAAAAAAAAAATAAAAAATAAAAAATAGGAGCTTTATTATTTATGCACCATATCATATTAATAATCTCATTCATCATTTGATATGATATATAAAAAAAACAAGTTTATAAATTTTTAATGTTTAAACCTATTATGTTAATAGCAATTGTTTTCTTTTTTTCTGTATTTTATATAGAATAGATGTCTTTTTTTATGACCTAACTAATTTTTCTGCTTACCTCCCAATCTTTAAGCAATGTATTTTGTCGTGATAAATAATGAGGTCGTTTTTGTTGATCATTAGTTTTTGTATGATTATTTAGATTTTCACAATTTGCATAATCATTAGGTAATTGAGGATCATCACCAGTAAATAAAACAAAACCTTTATTTGGAGATTGATTATTCGATATTGTTGGATGAATATTTGACAGTGGTTTGTCATCATCAATTAATGGATCTAATGCACGCTCAGGAGTCCAGCGAAGAAAAAATGAATATAAAGGACCAGTTCTAAAAATAATTTTTATTCAAAGATTAAGTAACAAAAAAAGAAAGAAGAAGAAGAAGAATTAATAGAGCGATTAATATGTTCTACTTTAGTGTCATTATAATATTGATGCATCTCTATTGCTTCAATGAACTTGAATAAAAGACGGAGATATTTGAGCGAATAACAAAGAAAAATAATACCGGAATTATTTACAGTTTCTTAGGCATGGCCTGACATTTAAAATATTTCTGTATGTTTCCTAGGGAAATCATATATAAAGATTAACTGATCTACAAACATAAGATACAAAAAAAAAGAAATAAACTTTGAATTATTTAAGTTCATTTTTTTCTATACTAATGAATGTGATTTGTAATGTTGAAAAAGAAGTACATGTGACGATTAACAATAACTTTTAAAATTAGTTCAGCTATATTGAAGAGTTATATATTCTCATCATGAAAATGGAATTACAAGTCCGAAGACGTTTATATCAAACTTCGTAGGATCTGATCGTTTAACAGATAATCTTAATGATACGTAGTGGTACAGAGTGAATTGACTTTTCTTGCTGACAATGGACATATCCTAAGTGTAACCCGTTGTTTGGACGCATATTGGCTCTGCAATGGACGCCTGGGTGAGACTAGCAAAAGTTGAAAAAGGTTCGTTTCTATAGGCCTTTGGAATCAAGTTATGGTCGTATTATTGAACATTGTTTACTTAAAAATTAAATAACAGCGTTTTGATTTGAAATTTTGCCCATAGATGAAACTCTTAGAATATTGTGAAAGTTTCAGTCGAAAAGAATACCCTTTTGTGTTGAGAGATTGAATTTCCAAAAACAAGTTGTGCTTCCACAGTCATATGGTAAAATCGAACTTACTTGAAAATTCTTTCCATCGGAAACTTTTAATCTATTCAAAGAATTATTAGACGCATCTATGGGCAAAACTTCAATTCGAAATTGCATTATTTGATTTTTCAATAAAATGGTTATTATTCAGGTCCATTGGGACGGATATTTTCAGACTTTTGCTTTTCTCACCAAGACGTCCTTGTGAGCCCCAATATGAGCTCAGACGGCGAATAAAATTACAGTAACTCCGTGGTGAGAACAATGTCATCGAGAAAAAAGAGATTTATTGAAACATGTTGTAATCGTTTATATTCGTTATTGAATCGACTTCTTTAGCACCTGTCTTCAAATACTTAAGTTATACGACAGTTTTTTGGAATTTAAATCTCCGCCATTTCACTTATTACTAGTTCCACTGATCAATCTGAACTTGAAATCTGCTTTAAAAAATGTACTAGAAACGAGAAAATTACAGCATGGGTTGATGATAAAATATTGTTGTTGTACTTCTTTGAAAAACTTCATTAATATCAAGTTTGTCAATTAAATCACTAGGTGACATTCTCAAGTGATAACCTAATTTTCTATTGATAATTTACCTACAAACCAGTCACAATGTACCTCGAAGAAGTCTAAGAGACTTCACGCTACTGACCAATCCTAGTCACGTCAGACTCATTTTACTCGGGTTTCAGCTTCTGGAACAGTATAGAAAGAAAAACAAATCAAATCATAAACCCTTAGTATCTCTTGATAAGATCGTGTTTTGATTTTTTTTCTCTGTCTACCGTATTACAAGCTGAAGTCTTGGTAAAATGAACATAAATTGGCAAGAAATGGTCAACAACATAAATTATCTTAGTGCTCTCATAGACTCATTGTGACCTGCTGGAAGACAGAATACTAGTTCGAACTTGACTATCACTTGGAAAATTTTCTTCATTATTCACTATACTTGTTGATTTGACTTCATATAATCTTGCACTGATCGACTCATTTTCGAATCGGTAGCGACGTTACTTCAGACAAATGAACTAAATCATTTCATTTTGATTGACGAATTAAAATACTTGCTCAAACCAAAAACAGAACTTCACAAATAATATCTCGATTTAGAATAATATGAAATTTTTCATAGTGATTTTCAGCGAACTTCAAAAGGCACTATTAAAAAATAAATTATCCATTATTTAAGCGTTCTTGTTGCTAACATGAAATGTCATCAACATTCCGAAATATAAAAGAATCTTAGAATTATAACACTAAAATCAGTAAACTTGTTAATAGAATTTAGAATATTTACTATTGATATTTTTTGTTTCCCTTTAGTACTAAAGTCTGGTGAGAATTTCGACATTCGGATTTCAATGAACTTTTTTTTTTGAGAAAAAAACAAATATTGAAAAACGTTCTAAATGAAATACGATGAATATCTTACTTCTCTTTAGGTACAGAAAACCAATATTCATATTTAAGGTGTTTTCTTCCATAAATAGTATCATGAAATTTTTCACTATGCTTTTTATATTGTCTTGCATGTAATGATGGTATATCATGTGTATGAATACTTGTTTTTATACATAAATAATAAGGTATCTCAATACGATGTGGTGCAAAATAATTTTCTTGTTGTTTACGTAATAATTCTGCACACACAAAAAAGAACTTTTTTCCTATTAAAAATAAATAAAAGAACAACAAAAAAAACTTACCGTCGATTTCACCAAAACGTTTATTAAATTGATCAAGTGATACATGATTTTTCAAAACACATCCCTCTAAAAGCAAAACAATTAATTAAATAAAATCTGCTTTTTATCTTCTCCTCAAAAAAAAAAAAAAAAACAAAACCCATAACAAGAACGAAGCAGCAGCAGCAACAACATACTCTTTATCTTTACAGCATGTCTGAATCGTGTCCAATCGAAGACATAAGAAACTTCTTTATATGATTTTTAAAACATATTTATTAACTTCAGAGGAAAAACGAACAAATAACTTACGTGATGGTATTCGATGAAAATTAATATTCACATTTTTATCATTGTCATCATCAAGTAAAATTCCAATTGAATGTTTATAATCATCAAGTGGTTGCAATATATCATTTGAAAATTGTAATGAATCATCTAAAAAATTATCATTTGTTGATGTTGGAAGAAATGTTTCATCATTATAATTATTATCCGATGAATTCAATGACATTTGACGTTTAATAGTTGATGCTGCATTAAATAACATACATGTTTCATTTGATATAGACGAAGGATTTAATTCTTTATCAATTTTATCTAGTAAACATGACATTAAATCATGAATTTCTTCTTCATCAGTATCCATTGTTGGATGTGTTAGAGAGTATTGAAAGTTTTTTACACTTGTTGAATGATACATTTTTCGTTTTTCTTCATCACTATTTAAGAAAAAAATAAAGAATTATCGAGAGAAAAATGCAAGTTAAACAACAACAACAAAAAATTTCTTTACTGGAATGTTGCTTCATGTTCATACATTGCTAAATCTTCATATAAACTAATGCCAGCAAGATAATCCATTCTAATAATAGAATAAGAAGACACAAAAAATTAACATAAAAGCAATAATTGATTCGACTGATTTGAAAAAAATCAATTAGCTCTTTGTCAAAGATATTGATTTTTATGTTTCATATAAATGGTGAAATTTATTCGTCAGTGTTTTATTCAAGATGACAGCGACGTTCTTTCAAAAATCGAATTAGCTCTCATGGAATTTATGATTATTATACGACATACAATGTGTCTGTGTTCCCTAAAATGGATATTCACTCTCCGGAAGAAAAAATCTCGATAAAATATTACTATTCTTTTCATTTTTTTAATATGTTTCTATAACAACATTGTAAGTGCTTGTATGTAAAAATAAAGCAAAACTAATGTAATACAATAAATTATTTCGAGCTGTTGCGTATATGTAGATGATTCAATGAGAAGATAATTGTAGTACCGAGTGGTTTGAAAGTTTTTCGAGAAGATATTTGTTCACTTTTGATCCGCTATAAAGTATTTTCAACGAGTCAAAGACTATTATTTTGTGCTCTTTTCGAATATGAACTTTGAGACGGCAAAAAAAAATTAGTTTCGACGACAAATTTTCGTATTTTTATTATTGCAATTGGAAAGTAAAAGTTGAAAGCTTTATTTATATATCATCTTGTAGATGAGAAGCTACCCTACAAGCTGTACTTTTTGAAGCCTTTTTTTTGTCTTTCGGCAATGCGCTTCAATTCTTGTTTTATTTTTCTTGTAAATATTCATTTTTGAAAAAGCGACAACCGTTTTACGTTGAAAAGAGCCTCTGAAAAAATGCTTGGGTAAAAGCTACAGCTTACGTTTTGTAGAGAAATGTCCGCTGTATGATATGACTGCCTCCGACAATTTCTAACATGTTCGGAAAGAAATTTATCGAGTAAACAAAAACTTGTTGGCTGATCATTAAAAATAATTTTTCAGATCTTCTAAAAAGCCTTTCATTACTCTTGAAGAAAAACATTTCTAAGTCCATATTCAAAATCTGATTGCAACCTATAGTTTTTGGTTCGTCTAAAATGCTTTCGAGCAGGCTAAAATGATCAAAAATCTGGTCGAAAAAGTTTCCGATTATCTGTTGATGAATCATCACTCAGCAATTTGACTAATAAAGATAAATTCTGCTTTATTCTTCTCCTACAACAGATAATCGGAAACTTTTTCGACCAGATNAATTAGATTCGACGAAAAATTTTTGTATTTTCATTATTGCAATTGGAAAGTAAAAGTTGAAAGCTTTATTTATATATCATCTTGTAGATGAGAAGCTATCCTACAAGCTGTACGTTTTGAAGCCTTTTTTTTGTCTTGCGGCAATGCGCTTCAACTCTTGTTTTATTTTTCTTGTAAATATTCATTTTTGAAAAAGCGACAACCGTTTTACGTTGAAAAGAGTCTCTGAAAAAATTCTTGGGTAAAAGCTACAGCTTACGTTTTGTAGAGAAATGTCCGCTTTATGATATGACTGCCTCCGACAATTTCTAACATGTTCGGAAAGAAATTTATCGAGTAAACAAAAACTTGTTGGCTGATCATTAAAAATAATTTTTCAGGTCTTCTAAAAAGTCTTTCATTACTCTTGAAGAAAAACATTTCTAAGTCCATATTCAAAATCTGATTGCAACCTATAGTTTTTAGTTCGTCTAAAATGCTTTCGAGCAGGCCAAAATGAGCAAAAATCTGGTCGAAAAAGTTTCCGATTATCTGTTGTAGGAGAAGAATAAAGCAGAATTTATCTTTATTAGTCAAATTGCTGAGTGATGATTCATCAAATGTAACTGTTGATATTTATATACTTGAGATCAGCAGAAGCCTTTTTTTTGTTCTTTCAATATATCTCTTATCAGTAAACTTATCATTTAAATGCTCTAAAATAGAACAAGTACGTTTGATAACATTCGCTTGCTTCCTAATTGAAATTTCATCAATGCTGTAGTCCTAGCTGTCTCTAATAGTATTTTTCGTTTTCTTTGACTTAGCAAGAAACACCTAATATTTACTGGTATCTTAATTTAAATCTATAAGACAGAAAGTCAGTTATTTTCTCTCTCGTAGAATATCATCTATATTATCGATAAAAACCTGTCTGGACTTTCTTTAGAAAACTAAGGATCAAACATTTTGTATGATAAGATAAAACTAAAATGAAAAATAAAATATTCGACTAACCGTATTATCAATCCATATTTCTCAATGCCATGTTCTTTAACCAAGGGATCGAGTACGTCGGGATCAAACATAACTGCATTAGGTGTGACAAGTAAAGTACCGGCAACGCTTTCCTAAAACGAAAGTTTTTTCTTATCAATTTGCGCATAATGAGTGTGAAGGAACTAATAAGCATATCTAAATTTAATTTCAAATTCCTTCATTTTTGTAGTTTGGAGTTAATCATGAAACAATTTTGTCCGTTGGAATAAAGTAATACATAAGTTTGTCTAATATAAGCAGAAAAAAAGGGCGCAAAAATGGTCGAAAGTGTTAAATATCTAAATTCATTTGATGTTAGATCATTTTGGCTTTTTCAAGTACGTATTTAAGCAGAAAAGAGTTCTAAAAAAATAACCTTGAATTTATAAAAATTTATACTGAATTTATTCGCTGAATGAATATTTTTGTCTGATTGAGTATCTAAGAATAATTTATATAGTATGAGTTAAATTATGTTATTTCAAGTTTGTTTGTTTTTCATATTATAAATCATTAGTCTTTATCTAAAACAACTCTCATTCTGTATAATTATTCGTCCTTGAAAGAAAATAATTTCTGTTGTAATTTTTATATTGATAAAAATCTTTATATTATTTAAATCTCTTTTCGAGTTTTAAAAAAAATAATTAATCTAATAATATCACTTGTTTAGATATCGTTATTATTTAAGTTAATTTAAACTAGATTAAATAGATCGTACTTTTTATCGATCAATAAAGAACACTTAAACGAGAAACATTACGTATTTTCTTAATATCAGATTGAATTCAATTTAGATAATGTTAGTTTTTTTTTTAATTTCTCATATAATATTAGATTTTTGCTTTTTGATGGAAGCCTAATATAAAACATTCTTATTTTAGTCATTCAAGTATACGAAATTGAATCATATTTATAGTACATTTTCTTTTGTCTAATGTCAGTAAACAAAAATATGTTTTTCATCAATATACATCAATCATTTTTTTTTATACACAATTTTAAACCTTGCATGTCAGTAATACTTGAAAGACATGTGTTGAAATAGAAACGAAGACAAGATTTTTTTTTTTTGCATAGTAAATTATCCAATTTATTTATGAAAATTTCTATAGAAAAAAAAACCAACGCAAACTTTTTCCGTTGAAATAGAGAAATACTTACATGATCTTCAGTCATTAACCGTACATTAACTTTAATAAAACGTTGTAAACATTCATCATCTACTCTGTGATTTTTATCTATTGATAAAGATCTTTGTAACATTTTTACTTGTTTACTATTATCTTCGTTTGATGTTTTTAAACGATCTTCATTTATGTTTGATGATGATTCCTCTTCAACAGTTGGATCACTTTTTAATCGTTCGGCATGACCTGGACGTGCTGTTATATTTCGAGTCATTGACCAAACCATTGGACCAACATCTTTTTGCAATGGATGATGAGATGACGGAGAAGATACACTTGATGAACGATTATCTTTAAGAAGAACAAATGCATCACCATCTTTATTTTGTGTTGGTGATGATGAAGATGTTGTATCAGGAGGAACAGAAGGAATAACAATTGTTGATTGTTGTTGATTTGAATTATTTGATGAGCTTTCATTAGGTACGAATAATATCTGTAAATAATAATGAATAGATTTTATTAAAATATAATTAAATAAAAATGAAACAAACTTGTCCAGGATAAAGGGTACGTGTATTGAGTTTATTAAGTTTAACTAATGCTGATGGTGTTGAATTAAAATGAAGTGCAACCTTTTCTAATGTATCAGTACTACTAACCTAATAATATATGAAAAAAGAACACATTTCTATCACGACCAATAATTTGATATGAATAGCGTATTTCATACTGTATGCAATGTAGTTCCTTCTGGTTGAGATACTGTTCGATGACGTTTAGAATCTCTACCTAAGTAAATATAAATAATTACAATCATAATAAATTTATTCTTCTTCTCCTCACTTGAATTCATAGGCAATGATTGTAAAATATTGTGTACATCTGGTGCTACCTTCGTATTTATTACTGTTTGTGTCAACATATGATGCTCATCTTTTCTATTAGCCATTATTAAAGGAATATATAATGAAATGTTTGATGTTGATGATGATTTTGATACACGATTTGTTGAACTGTTATATCAAAAGAAAAAATGATCAACAACTTTGATTTATTAGTTTTAAGTCTTACAAAATCTAATCCATATTAATTGATGACAATAAATGATGAATGATGAATATCTCTTGAGAATGTGTCGTTTTACAGCAAATACAAAGACAACAAAGACAAAGAAAAAAAAAAAGAAATCTAAAAGAAAGATGAATGAAGACTGATAGAAGAAGTAAAGATCTACGATAATGTTGCGCTTACCCTTAGTATTTTAGCAGCATTTTTTTTTTGCTTTTCCTTCTTTTTTTTTCCTTCAGCTGGTTGATACGCGGACAAGTCTGGTAATAATATCTTTCACTTTTCTTTTTTGATAAAGAATAACAATCTATATATATATATATATCACAACAACAAGCCTCAATGAAAATTGATCAACCAGGAAGATTCGTACATCTAGAAAAAATTTTTCTTTTCTTTTAATGTATTATTATTATGTAGAATGAAATTAATTGAGTTACTTGAATAGCTTTTAGCTGTTAACAATAAGAGAATATAGGGCAAGCTGGCTGCTCGTGCCATCGTAATTCCTTACTGGTTTACAACTAACCAATAAAAAACGGTTAGACTATGATTCCTCTCCATTGGTCTATATAATTGCGATGGTATTAAATGAAATGAAATAGTGTCATTGAGTTCATTACATATCTAATTCAACATAATTTAAAACAATGTTAACTCGATTTATCTCCGCTATTGTTTACAATCAACAATCTTTAACAACGAAGTCGCTTCGTTTATTAACTACAACTGCACCAAAGTTAAGTGATAGTGATCATGTAAATTCAAAGGCTTTAGAAAAAGCTTCTCACGATCTGAAAACACGAAAAGAACAAAGATGGTTAGATACTGTAGCTTCAGATAGTGGTAAGAAAAACAAAATCTAATATGAATTTTTTTCTTATATGTATATACAAATTTACTTTATAGAAGCAATTGTAAAAGGAGAACGTCAACATGCAGAGAAACAAGGTGATCTCAAAATGGATATGACTGATCTTCAATCTGATACAATTAAAGCAATCCAAGAAAAAGATAGAAAAGGTCATCTACCATAATTCGATGTTGGTCGATATGATTCATCTGAATCTCAAATTGGTAGTGGAGGTTCGCATAGGAAAGAAGGGTTGATTGATTGATTTGTTTTTTTTTTTTTAACTCATCCAGTAACCTATAGTTAACAATGCATTTTTTGTTATATTTATTCTCGCTGGGCATAGATTATAAATGAAGAAAAATTATATTCAAGTTTGATTTGTTTTTAAGAAAAAGTCGAATTGATTTTACTTGTTTTTTGCTAAACTTAAAATAAGCGCTATAAAATATATATAGTATGTACTTGTTTACCTCAAATTATAGAAGAACAGTGATATAATTCATTAGTATTTAAATGTTCTTTTCAAAAGAGATGATTAAGTAAACAAAATACAATATGTTAAACTATTCTTATCAACAAAATTTCAATCGATTCAATGATCATTTGAATGTATTTATCAAATTTGATATTATTTCGTTTGATTTATCAATTGAATTCTTGTAATGGCCATATTTCTGGCCAGAAAAAGCACGAAACATAAACGATCGTATACGGTAGTGAGTTCAGCTGCACTAATCGTGCACATAACTTTGGCGTTTTGAAATCAATAGCAAGTATTTATTATAAATAAAGACATGATACTTTGTCTGTTCATGGGGGCAGGAGGAGAGAAGAAAATAGACCTCTCTTCTGTGTGAGAAAAAGCATATATGAATACAACATCGTATTACGTCGTACACATCATCATCGGCATTCTTGGGTCATGTAATACGATCGTTTACAAGAATCACAATCTTCATCCTGAGATATATTCTATAGAAACAGTTGCTTTTTCTAATTAACATAGGCATTGAAATAGTGTATCTGTATGTAGTACACTGTAAGGATACGACTTTTCGCAATCGGACTCTCTATAAATATCAACAAAAAAGCAAGTGATTCAAGATTCACTTGGTGTCTTTTGGCTTTTAAAATCCGATCAATTTCGCTAAGTATATGTTTGTTTGTTGCTGATAACCCTGGAATGAAGTGCAGTGTGTTGGTGTCGAACATCACAATCGTGGATATGTACATGAATGCTGCTTTTTTCGTTACAATAAAACATGTTCACCTTTTTCGATAATTTATTTTCCTCTCCATATATTCAGTTACTTCATTATATGATTCACCATCATCTGTAGATGAGTTCTATTTATAAATGAATCCTTTTAGTAGAACAATATAACTTTTCACTTCTGTAACGCGTTCTCAAGTACAATAAATTGCTCACGTTTTCAATCCTATGCTTTTAGATAAATAGCAGTTTCAAAAAGTCAGACTATCCCTCAAATTAAATAATTAATGAAGCTTTAAATTATATAATGTGCTACAAAGCATATGAAACCAAAACTCTAACGTTGTGTGAAAGTTAATGTTTTGAATGTTGCGTGTAAACTTCAAATGGTATTCGAAGTCGACTATGAATTTTCTATATATTTGATGCATTATCATATTTCGCGCAAAGAACATCCTAGAAATAAATTAAGTATTACATTTCTCGAGTGATTGAACCATTGAAAGCGAAACCACAATATAAAGAATTTTAACAAATTGGGCCAGCCTTACATTCTCATGACACAGAGATGCTTGATGAAGTATATTTACTAGATAAATAATTTTTATATGTAGCTGCATTACAGCTGATTAGTAATGATTATACCAGGCGCGTTAAATGTTACTCAACTATCAGATAGTTCTTGTATTGAATTTTCTAAATTTGATTATTGCTAATCATTACAGTACTATTCTCAATAATCATGACAATATTAGATTAATTTCATCAGTACTTGGCACACGACTAATATTCAATGTCGACGGAGTCAATGAAATAACAACAGATGGTGAAAGTCTTAAAACAATTTTTTGGTACAAGGGTATTATCGATTTGAAACCATTATATATTGTTCCAAATCGATCACGATACCATATAATAAATAGAACAAAACTTCTAATTGAACAAACGTCGATTGGTGATGAAGGATTTTACACATTAAAAATTCAAACTAAATTAAATTCTTATAAACAATATTTTTATCATGTATGTTTTCTTTTTTTCCTTTTAACTTTAAACCACGCATATTTCTTGAATAAAACATTCTTTCAGGTAATCTTATTTACACAAAATCTTTCACTTTTCATAACTTCACCATCATATCGTCGAATTACTTACCATGCTGAACAATCGATCAATTTTACTTGTTCAATATCTTTATATGCTGATCGTACTTATATTGAACAAATACGTTCTGTATTTTCATCGACTTGGTTTATGATTATCTATAATAATGATCCTGATCATTATCAACTACTTTCGTCATCATCTAGTGCTCATATATATACGGCTTATCTTTTCAATTATGAACTTAATCAAAATGATCATAATCAAACAGTATCTTGTTCACTTATTCAACAAAATTTAAAACAAATCGTTATACTTAATGTTACTCTAATAGATATATTAAATATTGAATATAAAGCATATTTATATGGTAATTATTATTTTACACGCTCATTTAATAGTTATTCATCGATCGAAATTGATTGTGAAGAATTTGATGGGAATCCAAAACCAGTTTATAGTCTTATATGGATGTTAAATAGTGAAAATCGTACATTATTGAATAAAACGAAACATGGACGATATTTTATTGATAATGCTAATTGGCGACATCGAGGTAAAGAGTCGTACTACAATAGAATTTTCTTTGATTATTGAACTAGCGCTAATACGTATTTCCAGTTAGGATTATTCCATGATTTCTAATTAACAAAATGAAACGTTTTGAAATCACAAAAAACAAAGAGACACAGTTATTTATCGTAAATCATTCATTTTAAAATATAGTAACCATATTGTGATCTATAAGAACGTTCATATTTCATTAGTATTCTCTTGAGCATCTAACAATAGAACGCAAGACTTCCAAGTTACATTTAAAAACTGCTGTAGGAAAAATGTTTGTCTATCAAAATCTCGACAAAGGAACATTCTTTTCGGATGAAACTTTCTAAATACAATCAGTAAAAGGATCATAATTTGACTCGAAAGATCCATGGAAATATGTCCATTTAGACTTTAGAGATTACAATGTAGTGTAATTATAGGTCGATTATCTAATGTACTAAACTAATAATAAAACATTAGACGTTTGCAAATAATCTCAATATGACTTCACATATAATGTTGAATTATTTTTTAAGGAAATTATACATGTCTTGCTGAAAATTATCTTAATAATCATCAACCAGTGCATCAATCATTTCGTCTTAATATTTGGTTTAATGAACATCAATCAAAACTTCAACATCCAACAAAATTATTATCACTAGAACAATCATTTCAATCAAATACAACTAAATCAATTATTTTAATATTTCTGATTATAACTTTTGTTTTTTCTTGTATTTTCTTCATTTTATCATTCTATTATTTTTGTTTACAAACTAAATAGAAAAAAAAAAACACAAATTTTTTTTCTGTGTTAACAAATCAATTTATTTGAAGAAAGACCTACAAGGATAAGGGAAAACAAAAAAAAAAACAAAATGATCTTGTTCATCTACTTTCACCAATTAGGTTCTTTCATTCCACCAACTAATTGACTTCGATTACGAAAATAATCTTGTCGAAGATTTATGAACAAATACTGAATAAGCAATAAATGGAAATATATACCAACGTTTAATACACACTTCTTTTAACCAAAAACGAGTTACTTCAAAAACCATATTTATTTTTTTATTTCGTTTTTTTCACTAGCTTCGTTTAAAGCTTTTTGTATTTTATAACGTTGTGTACGTTGATAATCCAAATAGATAAATGTTGCTGATGAAAAAAAAAGTATAAAAGCTAATTTTGATTTCCAAAGTTCGTACCAAATATTAAGACGAAATGATTGATGCACTGGTTGATGATTATTAAGATAATTTTCAGCAAGACATGTATAATTTCCTTAAAAAATAATTCAACATTATATGTGAAGTCATATTGA